GTTGACTTGCCACTATGTCAATGGAGAAACTTAGAAACACAATACAATAATTTGTTTATTTTTATTTACATATTTAAAATTTGCCTCACCTATTTTCTTTTTTTATTATTATTATTGTTATGCTAGGTAGGGATACATTATAGCATTTACAAAAGTTTTTACAATGTATCAAATAAATCATACTTGAATTTATCCCCTCCACTGCTCTCTTTCATCCCCTTATTCCTGGGACAGTTTCAACAGGTATCATTTTGCGATGCAATAATTTAAATGCCTTGGTGGAAACAAATCACTATATTTTAAAATCCAGGCTATCATATGTAGGATATAAAACTTGACTCCTTACTATCTACAAGTCAAGCTGCAAATGGGTTAGTAATAAATATTTACTACATTTGAAAACACTTTTGATCATTTTTGAAGCACTGTTTATTTGTTGTTTAAATGGGTAATTTGGAAACTTTTAGACATTCTTTACCATAAACTTTGATTTTAAGAAAAATAAAACATTCAGAATCATGATAATGTTATAATTTTGCAGGCTAGACACAGTTTGAGGATAGCACCCTCACTTTTCCAATTTTTTAAAATAATTTCTCTATGTTGATTGTGTTCCTTTCTTTTCCTTTCTCTCCCATGGTTTTATATACCCTATAGGACATTTTTGTCCTTTAAAATAATGCAAAAAGGGGCAGAAGAAAGCCACAGAATTTCCTTCCTGTAACTACTTGTTCTCTATAAAGCTTCAGATGTCATTATTACCTAGCTCAGGTGAAAAGAAAACTACGCATAGGAATAAGCGCATTCAAGAAATCATCCAAGATCTTCCACTTATTATATATTATGAGAATTTTAGAGTTTTTATTTATTTGTTTCCTTTTTTAGACTACCAAGTTTTCCTAGTCAACAGTGTCCATGGAGAAGTTTGGACAATAAAATAGGTGATGGGAAGTAAAATCACTTTAGTCTAGATAAATTTTAAAATTATTTAATCAAAAATGCTAGTGTATTTCATTTCATACTTACTTTAATTCTTATTATCATTTCTTTTTTCTAAGTCTCCAAATGTCAACACACAAGTATCCTAATTTGGAAAACATTACATCATTTATAATCACTTTTCTGTTTTCTCAATATTAGCCAAGTCATTCCCTTCCTCTGCTAGTTTTGAAACAAAACAAGTTGATTGCATCTTAAAACATGCTAAGAATCCTGAGTAACTCAATAACAAAAGAAATTTTTTCCAAGAAAGTTATCTTAATTCTAAGAATTAAGAAACATAAAAGCAGAATAATGATGTACTCAATTTCATTCTAAGTTCCTGGTCACCTTGAAAAGTATCCCTGTGCTTTTATCATTATTTGTATAGCCAATCAATTACCTTCTCAAAAAACAACATCTTCCTACACAGTAAAGATGTTTCTGTGTTACCTTTGACATTGAAACATGACCCACAAAACTCAGGATTAATTATAAACTCAAGGCCACAGCTGTTCAAAGACAAATTATATCTTTATATAGTAGCCAGAATAATCTTTTCACAATTTCCAGAACATGCCATTTGCCTGCTAAGATCATTACAGTAGAAAGAGTTCCTATCGCAGAATAAGTTTTTCCCCATGGCCAAAACTTTGCCCCTCTGGCCTCATCTTGAACCACTTTCTCTCTTATCTACTCCTCTCCCACTGGCCTCCTTTTCAAGTCCTCCATTCAACAAGTATGTTTCCAATTTAGGGCCTTCGCTCTTGTTATACTATGTTTTGTCTGCTCTTTGTTCAGATCTCTGCTCAAATGTCTCACCAGTTGAGAGGCCATCTCTCACCCCTTCCTTAAACCATCACTCCTTCGTATCCTGCTTTTTCCTCCCAGTATATTCCCAGATACTCCACTTCATTTGTTAGACATGTTTCCATCCCAGAATATAAGCTTCATGTAGACCGTGACTTCGTAATATCCACATGGAGAACAGTGTGTGACACAAAGTGTATGCCCAACAAATATTCATTGGCAAAAGTAATGTACTGGAACAAACAACTACATGCTTCCACAAAATTCATTCAGAAATTATACTTAGACCTCAAGTCATATCACAAGATTTTCTTATTCATTGGTCAGGACTGTTTTATTCTACCTACATGATGATAAAGTTGCATTTTACTTCAGTCATAACATTTTTTGGGTTTAAAAACTGTTAACTACAGTAGTGTCTGAGAAAAAGAAATTTGGCAAGGAAATCTCACTTTCACTTTGTTTTTTTTCTATTCTGTATTATTTACACTTTTAAACCAGTTGTTTGTGAGAAAAAATGATTATCAAGATTGGGAAAATATCTATTACTTTTGATGCAGAAATTACACTTCCCAGAACAATCATTAAAAATTTATAAACTTGAAATAATCTAGGTAATAAAATACTAACTAAAGTAGTACTAATAATAGTGAAAATAGGAAAAAACATAATATATAAAAAACAAAATATATTAAAAAATCATAAATATACAACAATAAGGAAATAGTTAAATTATGAGAAAACAACAGGATAGAATATAAAGACATTAAACATGTTCATAAAGGTAACATGGTAACATGGAAAATGACTGTGGCATAACATTAAGATAAAACAGTATATATTTTATAAACATATGGCAATATAACTTTGTAAACTATAGGCTTATAAATTAAAAACCTGAACAAATGTTAAAAGTGATTTTTGGGTGTGTGTGTGTGTGTGTGTGTGTGTGTGTGATAAACCTATGGGTAATTTTTTCAGTACTACATTTCTCTATTTTCTAAGTGTTATTCCAAATGTAGTCATTAGATGTTAATGAAAACTGAGCATTAATAAATAGATTTAGCGCGTATATTAGACCTTAACAAATATATTAGTCTCAAACCTTGCCACCTAGTGCTAAACAAACTTTAATAAATATATTTTAAAATTAAAGATGTTATCAAGTCAAGAACATAGGTTTTCTGGTGTACTTGGGTAAAATAAAAAAATTATATATACTTATCATTTCATGAATCCAAGGGGAAAAATGTCTATTCTCTTCTATCTGGTATGATCATAGTCCATCTCTATTATTCTATCCATTGCCTAATTACAACCTACATTATAAATTATAATACATTATAGTAACCCTACTTTACAAAAAAAGATGTTTACTTACATAAATCCAGGTGAACAATCTAGTTTCTGAAGTAGAAAAAATAATAATAATGTCAGTGTTACTATGAACTATAACATATTTACTTGGGCTTGTTTCTTGTTTTTTGCAGTGTTGCAGAATGAAACGAGGGTCTTGTGCATTTTAGGCAAGTGTTATAGCACTGAGCTACATTCCTAGCCTTTTTAATTAGTAGTTTGCAAAATTATGCAGGTTTTCTCAGTTATATGTTATATGTACCAGAATTTAATGATCAAGTCCAAGATCAAAGATTTAAATTATTTTATCAAAGAGTTTTAAATATATTTTAATAGAATTTTGATGCACATATGTCAAAATTGTCTAACAAAGCACAAGACCCTGAGTTCAAATCCCAGTGCTGCCAAAAATAATTAATAATTCTAAGGCTTAGGTTGAGAACCTTTTCAATAAAGGCCTTATAGTAAATTTCTGGATCTGTGAAGGCCACTTAAAAAAATAAAAACCATATTCTTTATTTTTTGTCACTATCTGAATGCTTTCGTTGTCTTGCATCCGACCTTTAAAATTGTATCTAACTTTAAAGTTCTTCTCAAGTATGTTCATCATAAAAACTTTCCAAAGTGACTTAACCAAATGGAATTTCTCTTCCTTTGAAGCCTTATAGCATTTCATACCTCCTTTGGTTTTCCCATGCAACCGTAGTTATTGGTCTGACAAGCCTTCATGGCATTTTATGGGAGGAACCCTCTTCTCACACATTTCCTCCTTACTGGGGTGCCTTGCACCCAGTACAAGATTATATTAATGGCTAAATGGAAAAGTAACTATTCAACACCTCCATTCCCAGATGTAGACTTAATAATAGCTTTAGGGCTTAAAAATAGATAATGGTTTTTTTTAAAAACACAGCTAGATTTTCATATTATTAAAATGTAAGACAGATTTTATCTTGGAATCCAGAAGACTGCCCACTGCATTGGCAGAGTAGACAAATGAGAGCTATCAGGGAAAAAACCAAGGAACATGTGACAAGGTACAGGATACTGCTCGGTGAGAACCAGGTGTCTGGCAGGCACAACCCAGCTGTCCACAGGATGCAACTCAATCCTTTCACTGTCCTCCAATGGCAAGAAAAACATCAGACCTTAAATGTGTCTATGATTCTGGGGTCTGGTTGTTTGACACCTCTTAGGTTTTCCAAGTCAAATAGAATATTTTATTCAAATCTGTTTATCTAAATCTAAATCACAATTATGCAGACACAATAGGAAATCTTTAGATATTAGAACATTCTGCTTGAATCCAAATACTGGGAAGGCCCCTTATTAGCTGTAGAATTCTTAGAAATGTGCTTAGTCTCCTCAAGCCACAGCTTTTCCATCTATGAAGAACAGATGGTATGATAACAGGATCTAACTCATGGGAAGATGAAATAAGATGAGTTTATATATGTTTTTAGAACCACACATGGAACATAGTAAGCACCTATGAAGTGAGCTATGCATATATAATTAAGAAGAAATAGCAATGCTAGTATTAACATCTAAAAAGAACACATATCCTTCCCTTCAGACATGTATCATGCTTTATTTGATTCTTGAGGTAGAGTTATCATAAGAAGGAATTTACAGAAAATAGGAAACAGGCTATATAAGAATTAGCAAGTGACTTTTAAATGCAATAGAAAGAAAACAGCAAGCTGAAAATTCATATATGATTATGTGACAAGGAGAGAAGGGAAACATTGAATCCCTATCACAATAGTGATTCTCAAGCTTTCACAGTATGCAATGGCCAAAATCAGCTTCCATGCATGGGGACAATGGCAAGTCAACTCAGTGGCCATACTTACCACTTTCCTCCACCCCAGGGAAACCTGCCCCTTTGTCCTTCACCTTAGCAGTGCTTTCTTCCCAAAGCTTACTCTTATCTTTTTCCTTTTCTTCCTCAGAAGCATGTTTCCTGGACTTCTCAGATAAATTCTCTACAATCCCTTGGGTTTCATTCTCCATTTCTTTTTCAAGATCATTCTCATAGCTTTTCTCTGCTGACAGATGCTTGGTCTCCATTTTTACTTTTGTTATTTCTTGGTCTTCAATTTCAACTTCAAAAGAGTGCTCAATTGAAAGGTGGGATTTTCCTGGCTCATCATTTTCACTCAGCTCCTGAGAAGATGAACTTCTAACACTTTCATCTGTACTGTTTTCAGTGTGGGCTCCACTGTCTCCCTCTGCAGATTCATCTTCACTGTCGCTAGAATAGGGGTGACTTCTAGATGAGGCTGATGAAGCACTTTTAATATCTACAAAATTATAATGGTGATGTCATCATTGTTCCATAAAATAATTGTCAAAACTATGCTAGTAATTCCTAATACTAAAATTTTTTAAAGATATTCTTTAGTAGATTTTATTCCTCTTTCTCATATATTCCACATTATTGGCATAATAAAGAAAAGTCTACCTGATTTATGAACTAGAAAAGATTTTAATAGATCACATTTAATTGAAAAACATCCTGATTTTTGGATTTGGGAAGCCTTTATAAGTATCTACTTTGTTATAGAAAAAAATTGAATAATTCTTTGCTTTTACAGCAAAAGCACACATTTCCTTATTATTTTCTTGCGTAGTCACAGTATTCTCTTTGCATGAAACAAATTGTTTTATCTACTGCAGAATCTACCATTCTAGGACACGTTGGTATGTGCATATGGTAAGATTATACATTTACACAGTACATACATATTTAATAAATGTTTTTAGGTGATGCTGGTGTGTGTTTGGGTGTGTGTATATACATATACATGTGTGTGCATGCATGTGTGTGTGTAGGAGATATTGTCTTATTCTGAGTTCCCCAGAAGCAAGGTTCTGAGATGAAGCTTCATGTGAAGGTGATATGTTAAGGACATGTTCCTGGAGAAACTCTTAATGGAGTGAGGAAGCCAGGCAAGGAAGTGAAGCAGTCAATCAAGGAGCTGTTTCAAACAACAATCAAACCTCAGCCAAATTCCATGGGGACCTCAGAAGTGTAAGTTAGATTAGAAGAGTATAATTAAATTAAAATGGAGCCAGGTTTTCATACTTTAAACCAGTAAGATGTTGGCTATGGGCCACCCTAGGGGAACAGAAACTCCCTGGAATTTCCATGCTTTTTGTGCCTGAGGGTGAAACATCTCTACTATCCCAGGGCAGTCCTCTGAAGGAGGAAACGGTGTGGGAACTAGGAGATGGGCACAGAGAACTGGAAGAGTTTCAAGCCATACAATGAGATGGTGCCACAGATACACTGTCCAGAAACTTACACTAGTAAAGACAGTTTGCATACTACTCCGAAACTTTAAACAACCTACAAGAATGTAACATACACACTGAATCTCCATAAGGAAGACACACAGCATAAAAGTAACTGCATATATACTGCTGTGGACCAGAGAAATATGAACTTGCATTTGTTTTTTAAACCACTGGATCTGTGTTTGTAATTGTTTTTATAGAACATATTTTCAAATGGAAAAGCCTACACTTCAATGCTGCCTTTCTTGTTTTTTTCTTCCCTGTGTTCCTTACTCACTTTTCTGCTTCTTTTATTTCTGCATGACAGCTACACAGATCTCTATAGCAGCTAATGCCTGTCTTTATCTTTATCTTCTCCCCTCTGTCCCTCCAGCCCTGCCAGCTTTCTATGACAGTTCTTAGCATTTTAAATATAGTCACAGAGACATATCAGCATTTCCACAAAAATTTGAGAGGTGCTACATAGCAGTTAGAAACAAACCAGAAAAAAAAAAAAAAAAACCCTTTAAGCAGCAGAGCCCCTTAAGCACAATTCCATTTGTTCTCATCTCCCAATGCTTTGACAAGCACCAGATGACCACTACTCTTCAAAGAAATCACATACTTCAGCCATTCATTCTTTATACTCCATTTTATAAAATCTAAATGTGCTGTCTCTCCACAGGGAACAGGTCAGATCAAGGAGACTTTTTCTCTATTTTATTTCTATCAGTTCAGAAATTTTAGGGTCCATGCTCTCTTCCTCTTTAAGCATTTTACATTTTTTTTAAAGAAACAATACTTATTTATTAGTAGTTTAATTGATGTTTTTCATTAATGCAGTTAGCTAGGACACAATGTTACACTTGTTCTGACCTTGCAAAAATATATCTACCACTAAATATTGGCTGAATGACTCCTATTTTTAGCTCTGAATTGTTCATAAAATAAAAAAAAAATGGTCAACCTTCTAACTTTCTTTAGTAGCTTCTATTAATTTTATTATTTTATTTCATAAGGCTGACATGTGCTGCCCTGGTTTAATTTTGAGTCAGTCCTTTAGCCAAGAAAGCTCAGGAGAATGAATAGTCTCAAAGTGACAAGGGCTCCTGACCGCCCATAAAAACTCATTTCAGTTTTCAAAGTCCTCTCTAACCTCATGGTATAATTTAGTTTCACTATCATTTCTTGATCTCATTTTCATGCGTGGACACTGGGATAAGACTATGCTTACCAAAAAAAAAAAAAAAATACCCCAAAAGCTTCAGGGCCATGAAATGGGTCTTTCACAATGAAATTTTATTTATTCTTTTAGAAATAAAACAATTTTATACAAAAACTTTCATGTAAAGGGACTTTAAGGGCATATATATATAATTTTTTTGTCATTAGGAGGGAAAACTATATTGGAGGCATATAAGAAAACAACTCTGACTCCTACCCAGCTTCCTGTTTACCTCAGGTTTTCCTCTAGGTACTGATGCTGAAGGACCTACTGCTGGTCCTTAGGCAGTGAGAAGATGTGCATTCAGTCCTGGGGCCTTGGCCAAAGCCAGCGAGGTTGGTCCCTTGGTTCCATGTCCTAAGAAGAGTCTCAGACTTCTGTCTCCATATTCAATCAATCCCCATATCCTTTTTCCCTTTTCAATGACATTCATAACTGTTCATAGATAATTATTCCATTTTTCTGCATCACTGCAATTGAAATCTTATTTCAAAAAACATGGAATTGAGCTCATGATGTCCTCATCATGACTCAGCTACTTAATAGCTTTGAGTTCATTCAAGCTTACCTTCCCTAAAGCCTCTGTTTTCTTAGCTATAAAATGGGGATGACTGTACTTGTTCCTCATAAGTCATTGTAAAAATTACATGAGAAAAAAATGTAACCTGATCAAATTAAGTGTTTATTTCTTAGGGCTAGAGGTATGGCTCAAGTAGCAGAGCACCTGCCTAACAAGTGTAAGACCCTGAGTTCAAACACCAGTACCACAAAAAAATAACTAAATAAAAATCACTTCTTTATAACTCGCAATCTTTTTCTATCATACATGTATTCTGATGAATTATTTGTTGTGAGTCCAGCCTGATACATTATGTTGAGTGATATCACAGCTGTCATTTATTGAGAAGAAAACAAAATGTGATTATGATTATGTACTTACTGTATACCAAATGGTGAGGTAAACATTTTATAAACATCTCATTAATTCTGTAGACTGGTTATTATTTTCTTATTGTAGACCAATAAAGGGATTCCCAAAGAGGTTAAATAAAATTCAACCTCCATTAGCTATAAAGCAGCAAGTTTTGTAAAATACTTCTTTTATAATGATACAGTATAATAAAACCAAAACCCTCTATCTGCTAAAAGGCCTTCAAATAGGAAGTAATGACTGTTATGGACCCACCATTGGTCCTCCTGCCTAATTCTCCATGGTTACCTCTCACGGAAGACAAATGGGAACCAGTTCTCTCCAAAAGATTAGAACTCCTGAGATACAGAGACTTTTCAAACTCCAGTGGTCACTCTTCATTTTGTGCATTCCAGAGCTCAGAGCACATTTAAGACATTCTGAGGCAATATGAATGCACAGCAAAAGACAGCAGTCAAAACCTTCCTGGGTTTTGTTATAACATTGACTGTGATGCTATTTATTCCATTTATGTGAAATATATATGCCATATTTATGAAACACTGTGAACATTCACAGAAAAGGTGTGCATGTGCGTGTGTACATATGTGTGCTTGTGGGCCAGTAATCCCCAATGTTTTACAGTATTGCCTGATTGACAGTTTGGTATACATCCTATCATCCTATCAGTGGCACTAACCACATACGTATCTATGGTCAATAGCAGTCCAATGTATTCAAGGTGAGCCCTGCTCTTCCTCCTCATAACTGAGGTTCTGAGTTGCCCTCCACATCCCTACCCACTTATATCTATTCATGCATATTGAGAATATCTTCTGTGCCAGGTGATGTTCTACAAGAAAAGGAAGTCCAGGACCCCATAGATTACATACTCTAGAAATGGACAGTAACTAGTTATTTTCCCCTTTGTGCATGAGCATAGTAGATCACCTGTACTTGTTCATTAAGATGTTAATTCATTTTCTTAACAATGACTATAGAAAAAGCTTTAGAAGCTGTAACTATATTGCTGCCAAATTATCTGTCTTAAACCTATGACAAGTGCTGACCCTAGTTTTCAATCATTTCCTCATCCTTCTAGCATGGAGCATGGTTTAAATTCACTATTTTCTCAATGATATCCTGGTTTAACTTTGTTCTTGGTTTACTAGCAAAAAGCCCAGATAGCTACCATAGTTTTGTTGCATAAAGTCAAATGAATAAATTGCATTGAAAACTTAGATCAACCCAGTGATGTACTGTGGATCCCAACCCAGTAGCTCATACTCTTCTATCTTAAATTCTAACACCAATCAAATCTCTTTCTTATTCCTTAGTCTAAGACTCCAGCAAAATCTACATAAATGATACTCATATTTTCTTCAAATTATCCATGATACATAACTTATAAATCTTACTACTACTTACATGGGTAGTTCTGTCTTAGTTATTTTCATGAGTTCATAAAAATTTGTGTATATTTTATATCAGATACTGGGGTTCAGTCAATATCTTCATGTACAACAATATCTAATTAGATAAGCAGTTTGTACTCAATAACTACTGCAGAATGAATATGTGCTTAATGAAAATAAAAATAGAAATCATTAAATTCCATGTGTGAACAGTAGTTGATTAAGAGAGAGCATATATCTTCATATAGATAATTATCATGAATTGAAGTGTCTCAATTCATGGAAACAAATATATATGTTACTTTATAAGGATACATATATCCACAGATAAACACTGCTATAGCAGGAAGAAAAGAAAAACCATGAAGTTTCATTTATATTTACCTTTAATTGTACCTTCTAAACATTAAAATGAATAGTTAAATATTAAGATTAGAATCAAATCACATGTCATATGGTGCTCCAGAAATCTTTATACATTTGTTTATTAATCTAGTCAATCATCCCTTCACAAGAGTTTATTGTCTAGATAATATCATTGCTACATATAGGACAGATTCAAAAGTAGAAAAATAACTCATATAAAAGTATTTCATGTAAACTAAGGAATGGGGCAACACTTAAGTATCCTACTTAAAGATGTGACTTCCTGCTTCATTAATCTAAAGGTGACAATGGATTGAGAAATTTTTACCATTAAGAAAAATTTTTAGAAAATGAAAAATTAAGATCTGACTAACCATGCAAACAATCACACAGAAAGATTCTGTCCAGAAGCTGCTTACAATCGTCCCATAATCTTTCCTGATCCAAGGAAAAGCTACACTAACATCCTCAGGGTATAGTTTCACAGCACATACAATTTCAACACAGAAGGAGAAGGCTTCACTATGTTTCTCTTTAAGCCCATAGTCAGCCCACCCTCCCTCCCCAAAATAGTGAATTCTTGAAATCAGTAAGTCAAGTAAACAGAATGTTTCGTGACTCTGGAATCTTAAGTCTATGAGGTCTACTTCTTCAATATACTGAAAAGCAACACAAATGAAATCATTATCTTTCTTACTAGGAAAAGAATGCTTCATGTCTGGGAAAACATTCTCTGCCTTTATCTACATCTCTGTCTTTTTCTTGCTCTGTCTTGTCTGCTTCTCTCTATCTTCTGTCTCATAATATTTAGTCTTTACCTCTACTCTTAAAGCACTATTATCCAAACTGTCCTTAAAAGTATAAAAGTATATTCCTGGCAACAAGATACTTTTCCCCTCAACCTTATAACATTCATCTATGACAATATATTTTCAGCTGGTAAATTAGTGCCTGGGGTTTCCAACACAAATGCAGAGAAAGGAAGCTGTCATTCTTTTTAAATGATAGGAAGTCTCACACATCATTCCTAAACCAGGGACCTCTCTTAGTCAGCTTTCGGTCTGTAGCACTCTATCACTCTCCGGCTGCTCAGCACAGTGTTATTCATCAAGGAGGGCCAGCGCAATTGTTAGCTGGCAGTTTAAATGGAGCCGACTTGTCACAAGAGTGACAGCCTGGGCAATTGTTTGCCCTCTGGGAACAGGTGCAGGCAGGTTCAAATGAAACACATCCAAATACTAACAGTGAGATTCTTAATCATGTCAATAAAAAGGATGTACTGGTGTCTGGAATTCAGTGGTCACAATATGCCTCTTACACTTTTGAAGATGAAATGCTGTCCTGCTTTTCAACAGAGTGTTTCAAGGAATCTATCATGTCATTACCATTTTTAATACATGCTACTTATTTGCTGAATGAAATCTCTAATTCTGATACTTCACATGCTAAAAGACATGTTTTTGAGTAACACAAAAGCAGGCTATTAAAACAGAGGGACGGAAAATTAGAGCCTTGAGGTGAAGGAAAGAAATAGTAATAAGCAATAAGATTTTATTTCAGAATAGTAGCAATGTTTTAATATAGATACCCAGGATGCAAAAGGGCCCTTTAAAAGCATAAGTCAGTAATGTCATTATTGAAATGACAAAAAAAATTAGGTGGCCAATTTCATTTCTGGCTCTTTAATTTCCCAACATTTGTAGACTGGATGTATGTTCTTATAGTTTTCAATGCATAACTAAACTACTATATGTTCTATACCTATACAATGCTACTAGCTATACATTTTTTATAAAAATTCCAATAATCATCATATAACATAAATGTAACTAAATTATCATGACAATAACCAAAGAATCTTAGAATTCTTGGTGTTAATAATCAAGCAAATTTCTTAAATATTTACAAAATGTTTAGGAAGTCAGCTCTGTGATGAATTACAGAGCAATCTTAGCTTTCATAGTAAAATTAATTAATGTAATTAGTTTAAGGGACAAAATTTAACACACATGAAATGAATGAAAAATGCACTACTGAATGGCAGGGCTTCATAAAATAAAGAGCTTAGTGAAGCTGCTGAGGAAGAATAGAGTCATGAGAGAGGAGGGGGATGAGCCAGAACTTTGCAAAAGACAGGAAAGTCCATCCAGGGAGGAGAAAGGGCATTATAGGTAAAATTAGAAACTGTCTATTTTTATTTCCTCTTTTAAAAAACAAAACAGAGTAAACACACACACACAATACACACACAAAAGAAAGAGTGGCCTGATCACAGGACATGATAATGAGCTCAAAATAAATGCCTCTGAAATGTGTATCCTTAAGGAGACAAAGTCCTTTTATTGAAAGGATTTCCTTTAATTTTAGGTAATTTTCTGGTTTGGAAAAATATGTTTTTTTCCTCCAAAATGCAGGCTTTGAAATTGGGTAATATTTGCATCTTGGTTCCACTATTTTCTGGCTTGTGACTTTGGGAGTTATTTAATTTCACCATTTCCAAGCTTAATTATTTGTAAAATGTAGATACAAAAGAAAAAGTAACTGTTTTTTAAGGTTATTTAAGGTAAATAATTCATGTGAAATATTTAGCACAGGACTTAGCACATAGTAAAGTCATTATGTGGCCTATTGCATTATCAATTATAGGATATCTTGCGAAACACAGGATTCCAGTTAGTTATACGCAAGCAGTATTCAATGTTAAAGCCTACCTATCATTATCAGTTATTCAACAATTGCAGGTCTAAATGATTAAAACTTTCCCTCTAAGAAAAAACCAAGTACAGTCCACATCCTTCTTAGTTTGAACAGTTATTATTCTGTCTTAGAAAAGCCCATATGATTCTCAGAAAGAAAGGTGATTGTTCAGCACAAAAATTATTCCCAGACAGCTAGGTATTCAGAGTTTACAGAATCTATGAAATCAACAACTTGTTAATTTTACACCATTATAATAGAAATAAAAAATTGAGAGGCCTTTGTGTTTTGAACCAGCTATGTTTATATTTGAACATATTTTCAATTACCTGCCAAGTTCAAATGACCTGGATAATTTCTTTTAAATTATCAACTCAGGTGACATCATTTTGCTATTGAATTCTTTATGTCACATTGGCATATAAACTTAACTCCAATATTCACATTCAAACAGAGAAAAAAGCTTATTCATTAGGCAGACCTAGTGTAAAAAATGTTAAGTATTAACAGAAATTATAGAAAAGTAGTTTTAAGTGATTAAAAATACTGAAATTACCATTAATTGTACGTAGTTCTTTCAACTATAAAAAAGAATGTAAATCTCATTTTCAAATTTACCAATAGTTAATATTTCATTTTTTTCAAATTGTGCTCCACACTTTACCTTCACTATCAGAAAGCCCAGGATTAAAATTTTTGTTTACCTAGCAATGTAAACAATCTCTGGTTCCTAGCAAAGTTGTTTTTTCTTTTATTGTAAATAATTTCTGTATTGATTTTTTATTGCCTCGTATATTTGTTCATGAAATTTTGAATAGATTTGCTTGAATTTTTTTTGAAGAGAGTAGAAATACAAACCAAATATTTGATCTTATGATAATCTGATTACTTAATTTTCTTTTACATTTTTCTAACGTACTTCTTGAATTTAAATTTTTGATGTATTATACAGAAAAATTTGGGAGTTGAAAAGAATGCAGAAAAACAGGCAGTAACTTAAAGAGTCATAATAAGACTTTGTTCTGTAGTTACTAATTGCAAAGACATACACATATTAGATATGGGAGAGGGTCATTGTTACTACTGGTAAAAGCTTAAGAGGAACCAACAGAAATCTTTGATTAACTAAAAAACTACACTGTCTTGGCCAAACCAATTCTTTCATCAAACACAATTTAGGTGAACTAAAATCTTCATAAAGGTCTTAAAATTTAAATATGCCTCAGATAATGATGAAATTTAAGTATTTCTCATTCTCTACCTAAAAAGGTCTGTACTTTCCCTGTGAACATGCACAGTCATTTTAGGCTGAAAGATTACAAGAAAGCCACAAACTCTTCCAAGAAACTAATATACCAGCATTCTGTGTTTAAGGTAAGTTTTTAAAAAAGAAAAGAAAACCAAAGAACCTAAGGCTCAAATTTTCAGCTTTCCATTTTAGTTAGTAGGAACTACTTTTCATTTTTCAAAAGCCACAAAATGGTGTGTGTGTGAGAGGGAGAGAAAAGTGTGTGTGTGTGTGTGTGTGTGTGTGTGTGTGTGTGTAGAGAGAGAGAGAGAGAGAGAGAGAGAATATATGAGTGTCCTAAAGAGAATACTTTGGGCTAAACAAATTTTTTAACCAAACAGAAAACATGTCACTACAAGCTTTACCTAACATCCTGCTGAAAGATCCCAAGAAACTAAAGAAAGAGAAAGATTAAGAATTGGTTCTGTTATTTGGAGATACATATATACAATTGATTGGCTAGCTTCCTCTGGTTAGGTAACCATGCTACAAACATCTTTCTTAAAAGATGATCATCTTATTAAATATAGAATAAAGAAAAGGAACAGCACACTGACTACGCAGGTCTGTCATGTGATCCTCTAAACAACTCGCCTTGTTTATCCTCTTCCCCTTCACTCCCGGAGAATCCATCACCCTCATCTTGCACATTGTCACCAGCATCTGGTGCCTTCTGCGACGAGATCTCACTCTCTGTTATAGGGCCTAAATTACCCTTTTCATCCTCTGTGGGTGACTTTGATATTCCATTTATTTGATCATCACCCTGTCCTTCTTCATTAGCTTCTTTATCTTGTTTCTCTTCATCTGCTTCAAAATCTTCTTCATATTCTGAAAAAGAAAATCTCCACTATAAGAATGAAAATAGAATCCCTGATATTTAGCTTATTTCACTTTAATGAGAACTTTGACTCCATTATCCTTTCTTCTCTGGGCTTTTCTTTGTGCTTCTGTTTTACACAATTAGTGAACATGGAAAACGAACAGTACAGGATCAAAGATTGCAATCAGATACATGGACAAGAGGACAGAAGGAATGAAGCTCCAAATGGCAAGGCTGAAACCTAATAAAAGTTCATTTACAAATGGACATCATCATCCACGATGACCAAAATGCAAAGGGAAGAACTGGATAGAGCACAATAAATTAGAAGTAAATTAAAAATGAAGAGAACAGCATAATAATAATGAAAGTTAATTTGGAGACCCAGTGAGATCATATTTCATAGGAAGAATGCTCAAAATATTTGGATATCAAGTTAATGAATAGTGAAGTGGAAAAAATTCAATTAATCAGGACTGAAGGACCTGCAAAGTTACACTGTAAACAGGGTATTCTTTGAGAACCAAATGTGCACTAAGAAAAAAAGCATTATGAAGGATTTTATAGCTAGGCTAGAAGTCAAATCATATACATTATTCATTCCTACAACAAATGAAATAATTTCAATGTAAGTATAAAAAAAACAAACAAAATAAGAGTATTCCTGTCACAGCCACAAATTTGCTTCATTTTCATTCCCTAAAGAAGTACAACAAATCTGTAGCAGGAAAAGGAAACTGTCACATCAGATATACTCCAGCTGTCCCTTGTGGTTATAATTCTTCACCTTTCATATTTAATTGTTCCCCTTTTTTTCTACCAAAAACTAAAAATCTTGAAGTGACAGCATGCCAAAGAAAAAGAGCAGAAGTATCTCGTGCAGAACTAATTAAGCAAATAAACAATTATTGATAAAACAAAAATTATAGGGAAAATAGTTTCCCAAATTTGTGTGTTTTAGTCATTAGACATTCTTGCTCCTCTTCTAGTAGTGGGGACTCTTGGGTAATTTACTTGAGAGCTGTCCACCCACTGAAATAAAAGAAACTTAATTTAGAAATGTATGCCCTGCACATGTAAAGAAAGCCCTGTTAATACAGAGAACAAGTGAGGGAACTGTAAGAGGAAAGGTGAAATAAAAACTAATAGTGAAGGGAGCAAACAAAGAGAATTCATAAAACGTTGTCACAAAGGAGACTTAATGCAATTAAACTAGAAATGTGAACATCGGTGAAAGAAAATTGTACAATAAGCAAGATTATGAAGAATTTGGTTCATATTGCATGACACAAAAAGGAAATACTAATGAAACAAATAAACATTGTAACCCAAATATTGCTGGTCAACTTATAGTAGAGTTCTTTACTTGGCCCAGTTAACTATCAATTAATAAGACTTTACTAAGAATCTTCTATGAGCAAAAAGATAAAATTGCAAGATAAATACATTATAATAAGACAACCCAATCATCCATTTTTTGTTGAAGAAATAAGATGTAGGCACACTAGAGAGAGTATACTTATTTTTCAGTAGTTTTTTTTAATAGGGACCTCAGCAATGTTACCTTCAACACTATTGAGGTCAACAGCTGAGGGTTTTTATATAGGACTCATGATTAACTGCATGAAACAGAATCGAATGCAGTAGTCCCTCTCTCATCTGTGGTTTTACATTCTGTACCTTCATCCACCCATGGACAGCCATAGTTTTATACAGTTATGTTTGTATAATATTAAATGGAAAATTCTAGAAACTAGATAAGTCTTAAGTTTGAAATAACTTTTATTACAGTATATATTGTTTTATATATATGTAATTATATATATACAGGATATTTCATATATATACTTATATATAATATTTTTGTGGTGTTGGGGATCATTTGAACAGAACCTTGCAATGATAGAAAAGCCCTCTACCACTGAGCTACATTCCCAGTTCTACAGTATATTCTTATAACTCTTTTATTTTATTAGTTATTGTTGTTAAGCTCTTACTGAACTTAATTTATAAACTAAACTTTGTTATAGATAAGTATGTGTAGGAAAACCATAATACACATAGGGTTCAGTACAATTCACAGTTTCAGGCACCTTCAGGACATATTGGAACATACTTCCAGAGATAAAGGGGGACTACCATAAATGGAATGGAACTGGAGGAAGACAAAAAGTAATTTTACATAATTGTGGAGGACTTAATAAGAAGGTAGTTGCAGTTTGCAGCGGAATACACAAAGGTGTTATTTTACAGGTATTTGCTCTTGTCACAACATAATCAGGGACCCAGACAGAACATGAGTGGGTTACTGAAAATTCCATCCACAGTATTACATAGTAGTGAAATCTGAGGGTCTTGTAATCAGGTAGTCATGTGTCCACCATCCAGTTAAAACATTTCCTAGGTATGTGGCCTTGAGGAATTTGTTTGACATCTTTAAGCTTCAGTTTCTTCATCTATAATCTGATTAGTACAAAGCTGTGACATTATTAAAAACAATAATCTTTAACTCAACACCATGAACTGCAGGTGCTTAATAAATATTAGGAATTAGTAGTAAAGTGTTTAGGACTAGGTGGTGGAGGAAGCTGGTCATTGAACAGAAATCACATGTAATATGCATTCCTTTGACAGTCATACACTTCAGTGGAAGCATGTGATTAAAATCTGAGCCACACAAGTATCCACTATTAGAACATAATTACTGTTATATTACTAAAATTGAGTATAAAATTGAAGGAACACATAGTGAAACTCAGGAACAGTCCTGCATCCTATTTTCCAGAAACTTCTGTGTTTTCTCTGAAAATACAAAACTCAGCACTGCCTGGGTTTGTTCTATCCCTACCATCACCACATGTAAAGATCAGCCTTCCAGTGTTGCTGTAGTAAATGATATACCACCTTTGTATCACCTGCTCATGGTTGTGGGGTGAATGAACTAGTGGCATGGTTTCTGGCATCCTTCCTTTTCACAATTTCTTCTGTTCCCCCATTGCTTTTTCTTTTAGAGAATTAATGAGGACCTCTATCACTTGAGCTTCTGTTTCCCAGCCTGCAAAATGGAAGAACTAATACCTACCACATCAAACGGTAAGAATAAATTGAGATAGTACCTAGTCCAGTGCTCAGTACTGGGCAATTTTATTATTACTGTTGCTACTACCTTAAGTTTTCTACGTACACGCATGTGTGCATGTCTATATGTATAAATATGCATGAATGTGTGTGTGGTGGCGGGAAGAGTATAATAAAGAGAGGACAGAGACAAAGAAAGAAAAAAAGCAGGTGGACAGGCAATAGGAAGGCAAGCCTACATCAACTACTTTTAGCTTTTAGTTGTAGAATTGTTTCCCACCAAGTAATCATATAGATTACACCTACCTAAAGCCAAAGCAATTCATCAATTTCATCCAAGCAAGTATAGTCAAAAACTAAACATATAGGTAAAATCACGTATTTCGTTAAAATGGTCTCTTCAGAAATCAGTAGGGCCACTGACTGGTTCACAGAGACAAACTTCCCTTTCTTCCTGCCTTGTCCCCACAAGTACCTTTAGCCCTGTGGGATTAGGTCTGCTCTCCTCTAAGGTAGATGACCAAGTACTCCATAATTTTGTATGGAATATGGAGGAGGAGGTGTATGGAGTATCAGAGGAGGACTGGGTATAGTGGAACATGCCTATAATACTGGCTCCTTGGGAGGTAAGAGATAAGAGGATTGCAATTTAAGGCCAACCCAGGTCAAAATGTTAGAGAGACCCTATCTAAAGAACAAGCTGGGCATTGTAGTTTGCACCAGTAGTTCCTAAGCAATTGGGAAGCAGTGATAGGAGGAGTATGGTCTGAGATCAGCCATGGGCAAAAGCAAGACCCTACCTGAAAAATAAGCTAAAGCAAAAAGGGCCAGAGGTATAGCTCAAGGGGTTGAGCATCTGCCTAGCAAGTTTAAGAAAGCAGCAAAGATTGCTCCCAAGAAACAGAGTTGCCAAGATCACAACTGAGTAACAACATTTAATGGATATTTTTGAAACTTTTGACAATAATAGTTTAAAGGCTTAAGTAAAACAATAGCAGCAACAAAAGAGCTCTATGCTATTGATTACCATATTTAAAAGTCTTTTCCTGGTTGTCTTCCCAAACATCCTGTTCTAGTTTTCCTTTCTGTTCAATTTCTTCCACTGCAGTTCTCACTTCTCTGATCCCTGGTTGTATTTCTTGAGCTGAAAAAATGTCTGAGACTGAGGTTTTCTTCCCTTCAATCTCACTTCTTTTTGATATCATGTTCTCTCTTTCCTTCCACCGTCTTTCCTCACCCCTCCTCTGTTCCTCTCTCTTCTCAGCGCTCTTTTCTTTCCTATATTTCGTTGAAGTTATTTTTTTGTCAAGACCCATTGCGATAATGCACCTATGAAAAACACCAACATAAAGTGTTTATTGACCCTTAAATGTAGCTCAGTGGAACCTCAGCGCTTTTTAAATCATGTACCTCTTATTCTAGTATGAAATGATATGAGAATTACTTTCATTACTACACACAAACGTTAATTAGAAATAAACTGTTTTCTTTTTATTGATACTAAAACCTTAATATGAGCATAACAAATTCTTAATAACAGCTTTATCCACAAAAAATAGAAAGGAGAGGAAAATAACTCATTAACCAAGAACTATAGTGTCAAATTAAAGTTGTGCCTTAAAGCATATTTTTGGCCTTACAACATTATATAGTCATTATATAGGTAACTGTATATAGATGTTAACATACTATGATGATAGAAAGATAGATAGATAGATAGATAGATAGATAGATAATAAATAGAACAATAGTCAAATCATTATGGTCCTTAAATAAGAATTATGTAAATAAAAGAACATTCAGGCTTATAAACATAGGAAAGCTGAGATAAAAAAAATAATCAAAAGAAAGACATCACTGCATCTTTGCTAATTCATTATTCTAACACATAGCAACAGTGAAAGACTTATATACAAGGTTGACTCTAAATAATGATTTATTTTTTAAGAAACATGTACAGTCAAATGCCTTTTAAGTAAATAACTCAGAATTCTGCACAATTATTTTAGTAGAACTGCAATCACTGCTTTTAGAAGAGCCTTTTGAAGCCTGTATTTCAGGTTTCTGATGATTTTGCTCCAATAAGCTTTTGTTTCTCAAAACTAGCAACAATTTGTAGAAGTCATAAAGTCATTTCAAGTCAGATCTGGTATACCACCCAAATGATCTAAATGTATTATAAAAGTAACATGAGTGCATTGTCTTATATAATTATTTTTTCCACCTCATGAGTTAACATCAAAGTAAGAATTCCAATAACAATAGCATATGCATTAATAAAAATCATGATTATGTTGATAGATTATTGAACACTCCCTCTGTGCCAAGCTCTTTGTTGGGTACTCTTTATACATTATTTTAAGGGATTCTTTATCATAACAGACCAATAAATTAATTTCCACCTCTGTACATGTGAGGAAACTGAGGTTTAAAGGGTCCCATGACCTGCTCAAGGTCACCCAGCAAGTTAGTGATGGAGCTGGATTTCATCCCAGTACTATTAAACTCCATCAATTCACACTGGACCACAACCATAGTGTTCTATTACAGGTGTAACCCCTAAAATGACTAGTGACACAGACAAATGTCACACTGCTGGGCATACCACCACCGAAAGTACTCAAACATGCTCACCAGAAACTAAAACACTCTAGAGAAGTTTCTACAAAGACCTAGAGATCATGACTTAAATAGGTGTGTCTGGCAGTCATCAATCTCCACCTTACTTCTTCTCATGAACTATGCATGGCCCTTCTCCCCATGCTACACAACTCTAGGGAATGGAATCATTTAAAGTAGGCATGTGGAAATGGATCAGAATATAGTCAAGGTTTATCAGTCCAGGAAAAACAGAACAATCTGCAAATTGCCTTCACCTGGGTCAAATGCAGTGGCAATTTCTTTTTTTTCCTTTTTTTATTATTAATTTATTCACATGTGTGTATATTGTTTGGGTCATTTCTCACCCTTGCCCCCACCCTCATCCTCTCCCCTCCTCTCCCCTCGCTTTCAGGCAGAACCTGTTCTGTGCTTTTCTCCAGTTCCATTGAGGAGTAGAAATAAGCAATAATAAGAAAGACATAGTGTTTTTGCTAGGTGAGATAAGGACAGCTATACAGAGAGATTCCTAGCATTGCTTTCATGTACAAATATGTTACAACCCAGGTTGATTCATCTCTAACTGATCGTTACACTGGTTCCTGATCCCCTTCTCATGTTGACCTCTGTTGCTTTAAGGTTTCTGTATTAATTCCTCTGCAGTGGGGGCATCAAATGCTTTTATGTTTGGGGTTTTCTACCTGTCCCCATACCTCCCGTATGTGTTCTCCCCTTGTCATGTGACCCAAGTCCAACAACATTGCTGTATTTGCAGTGGCAACTTCTTAAACTGAAAATTTCACTGAATTTCAGCTGTCTTTGGTCTTGGTGTAGCATAGGAATTGATCTTCATAAATTCTCCCAAAAAACAAACATGAGAACTATGTTACATCACTTAACATTTCAGTATCTTCCCATAAGATAAAGCAAACAGGATTTGTATTCAGTATAACTACTAGGCTGTGAAACATGAGCTAATCAGCATTTTCTTACCTCACCCATATTAAGCATGATTAATGTTTCTTGACTATAATGATGATGCACTTAGCACACAGCTCTCCTTGGAATAAAGGTGTCATGATCTTCACAGAATATGATTACTAGCATTGCCTTCTGTTCAAGATGCTCTTTCCTTATCAATGGCAACACCAAATCTATTGATTTGGACTCTGATATGCTGTTACTTTTAATTTATGTTGTGACTGTGTAAAGGCTTTCATGCCTCCCTACTGCATGCACAGACTTTTTATTGTCCATCTGCTGAAGGGAATTGGACAGACAAAGTGAGTAACAGCTGTGCTCCCCTCGTTGCTGACTACCTATTGACTTTTGAGTATAATTTGAGGTGTTGATTCTGATTACTAAAGCTCAATGCAATCTCCCTTCTACTTGCCTAGGCAATTTATCTGATTTTTCACTCTAGCAATTGAAAATAACTGCTGTGCCTCTTCAAACCATTTGAGTGGTGAGTCCAGTTGTGGAACCTGAACATCTGGAAGTGACCACTGTTCAACTTTTATGGTTTTCTGAGGACCTTAATTAGGTAATTCCTGATCATTTTTAGAAACAGAACTCCCAAATGCTTTATTTTACCATGCCTCTCTTTTTTCTCATTGTAAAAGCTCCAGGGACCAGTACTTTTTAATGAATTAAAATCAATTTCATTTTGAACGATATGGAAGAATTAATATATTACTCCTCAAAATAACTAAAAGTATCATTATAGGAATGACCTATAATGATACTTTTATAATAAAACAAAGGTAATACTACATAGTAAGTGATACCAATCTCCTCAGGTATAGTTCTAAACTCTTGTAGGAGTTCTGCAATCGGTATCTCTGGGATAACCAGAGGTGTCTCAGGTGGGGCAGGAGCAAGGTAAGCGGGACTCTCTACTGATCCACCCAGTCCTACCCAATTTACATCAGTCTGACTCAACTTTTACCTGATCTGCAATGGGGAGACATAAAACAACACTTCTTCAAGCACTCACAGATTTCATTCAAAGAAATGTTTTGAAGTTAGCAACAAAACATAGTTGAAAATCATTCTTCTATAAGAACTGTACCTTTTAGCTGAGAGTAATATCCCTCATTCTTGAGTATCACAAACATATTTATATTATTTGAGAGGAGGGAAGAAAGAAGGTAGAGGGGACAAAATGAGGAAACCATAGAAAAAATTGTACAGAGAATAGAGGGTGTTGAAAAGTAGAGCAGATGTCATTGGTCAGATTTTGGTACTGATTATTAAACCTCCACAGAAAGTACACAGGGCTAAAAATTTATAGCTTCATTTTGTACAGCAACTCCCAAAGAATGAACTGTGTTTGCACATAGATGATCATAGATAAGCTCATTAGTTTTCCTGGGAGTTAAATAGAAATGTGTTAAATGACTTGTCCACAAATAAGGTGATAGCATATCTGACTTGGAGCTGGAAGGCAATTCAGGTGTGCATTAAGTACAGGTGGGCACTGCTCTGTTGCCCCAGGCCATTCATTTCCCACTCTCTGCATGATTTTGTTCACACCTCCTCTCCCCTCAAACCTCCAACCTTTCCTCCTTAACCTCAGTTGATAAAATTATTTCTTATTTTAGAAAATAGAAACAACCAGCAGAGAGTTTCTAGTCTTAGCACAGCCACCATCTTAACTCTTTCCTCCCACATGTTGGTATCTTTCCTCTCCTTACTATAGAAGAACATTCCTCTTTTTTAAAAAGGTTGAACCCTGGATTGCATCTTCTCTAGTTTACTTAAGCACTGAGCTCAATTTCCTCCTTATGTCATGCTTCGCCAATTCTTTTCTTCTCTACAGTGTCAATACTACCTATTAGCATAAAAACATAACATAATATCCCACCTTAAAACTTAAAAAGCTCAATTGAGACCTATATTCTCCATCTTGAATATCACTCAACTACCATTTTTAAAAACAAGGCTCTTTTTAAAAAGTTGTCTATAAAGTCTGCCCTTACTTCTCCAATTATTCTGTAAACACCCCAATCAAGTTTACATCCCTACCATTTTACTATGATTTACTTCTCTCAAGTTCACTAAACACCAACACATCACCAAATCAATGTTCAACTCCTATTCTTCATTTTACCTAAGCTATTCAAACATTTGAAGCTATGAAACATGCCCTCATTCTTCAAACATTTTGTTCATATCTAGGATATCATTCTTTATGGGTTCTCTTTCTAAATAATGGCTTTCCTTCTCAGGCTGGCTTCAGAAACACTTGCCCTTACCTCTGGAATAGAGCAACATAATGCTCATTGCTTAGATGTTTTCCTTGTCAGTGTTCAATTCTTAAGCAATCTCATTCCATTCTATGATTTTAAATGCCATCTATATACAAACCATTCTTAAACTTTTATCTCCAGTCTAGATCTCTCATTTGATCCCAGATTCACATATCCAACTGCCTACTCAACAGTGCTATTTGCATTATCTCACAGATTCTCAAACCTAGTATTTCTAAAGCCCAAACCCTCAATTTCACCTCCCAAACTTGATTCTTACACAATCTCCTCATAAGTACTTGTTAACTGCACAACTTTCCAGTTGTGAAAGCCACGAACTTTTGAGAAATCGTTGACTCTGTTTTTTAAATCATGCCTTGGATCTATGTGTCAGTAAACCTTGTAAGCTCTACATTAAAAATACACATTGAACTCAATCACTTTGAATTCTTTTCCACTTTTATCTTGTTCCCCAGATCGGAGCAGTTTCTACTCTTCTCTCCACTCCCCTCATTAATTTTTCCTGAAGGAGTTACAATGAGGTCATGAAAAATCATTGCTCAAAACTTACCTGAGAAGTTTCCTATCCTTCTCAGGATAAAAGTCAAAATAATTGCAACAACCTTCGCATTTCTACATGGATTTCCCCTGTTGCCTCTCTGACTTCATCCCTCAGCATTGTTCCATTAAGCCATTCCCTCCCACCCTATTGATAATATCTTCTCCTACCTGAAAAGCTATTTGGAGGAAGAGACCATTCTTTTTGGTTTCTGCTTAAAAGAACTCTTATCAGAGAGGTGTTTTCTGCTTATCTTGTATAAAATAACACCTCCTCAGACCCTTGACCCACCCCTTCACTCCTGACAACTCCTTTACCCTGTTTTGTGTTTATTGTACTTGTTACCATCTGACATATATTAACAGCTTTTTTGGTATGTTATTTGCCCTCTCCCTATTAGAATAAGCTGTGATGATGTATATTTTGATTGCATTAACACTTTGTATCTTCACTTGGCATTTAGTCAATACTCCATGAATACTTTCAGAAAAAATGAAAGAAAGCCTGCAGCCAAGACTCCTGTTTTCAGACTGAATGTCCAGCATGAAAGGTAATAAGCCATGGTCAAAACTGACCTCTTAGCTACATTTTGTTATGTCTGAGATTGAAACAAAGGCACTGAGAATGAAAACTAGGTTACCCTATAATGCAGCCAACACCTCTAACATGCATAAGCTGTAATATTCAACCACACAAAATAGGTGATAGGCACACACCACATGTTTAGGATTTAGCCCCAAACCAGTTACTAAGGGCAATGAAAAAAACCAAAAACAAAACAACAAAACTCTCCCCTCTTTCCTTTAGAAACATGATTTAAGGCAGTATGAGGAAAAGGAGAGAAGGTGAGATAGAGTTTGAACTGCTACCCATCAGCTTTTATCTCAATTATACACAGGACATTTGGAAATCTGACTTATAGCTTATAATCTGAAATACACTCGAAGTTGTAGCAAATAACCTTTACCTTAGATGTTTTAGGCTCTTATACTCTGATTTTTCCTAATAAATTGTGCAGAGAAATGCATTAGTAAAATATAGAGAAAACGTGGCAAAATTTGCCATCTACCAAAGAACATTTGTTTCCATACTTGTAGCAAGGAGATGATTTCTCCACACACACAAACCCGAAGTAGCCTCTTTTGCCTCCAAGTCTGGATCCGTTCCGATGCTTGTATTCACAACAGGAGCTTAACCTGTTCACCTGCATCCCATTCAAGAAAAAGGTGAGGCTGAAGGGAAACCCATGATGTCGTTTGGAAACAAACTGAAAGGTTTCTGAAATTATAAAAAATGAAATCAATTAGTGACAGCAGCTGATTTTGGACTAACATCTTCTAAACCACATTTTTCTATTAGAAAAATACAATATTATGCTGAAGATTATATTTTACTTGAGCACAATTTTAACCATAAAAACAGATTGTATTCCTTTTATATATAATATGTATTCCAAGTCTTTATAAAAGGCTGATTTGTAATAACTATCTAACATTATATTAGCACTTATTATGTTCAGGCACTATGCCTGATTATCTCAGGTATGTTATTCCTAAGCAATCACATAAGTTGGAAGTATTTCCACTGCTGGTTTCTCAATGAGAAAACTATGGCTTGGAGGAGATCAGTAATTTACCCAATGTCATACAGTAAGTAAGAGAGGTAGTAGTTGAGCACTAACATCACTCTAAATTCCATGCCTCTATCTTGGTATGCTATCTATTAATAAAGCACATAATGACAAAAGGCTACTGTGAGATCAGTATGCCTTTAAAAAAAAAAACTCTTTGAGTTGTGACAGAAAATATCATAATGCATATGTGAATGAGGCAGAATTATTCCATCTTCAAGTCATACTCAATTCTGTTTGGAATAAGATTCTCTTCCCACCCCAACACATACCCAAACATCCTACCAATCAAGTCAGAATCAATGCTTGCAACTGATAGTTTTTAATCATTTCAAGTCTTTATAATTTTCATTGACAGTCTTACTCAAGAGATCCCCTACAGAATGACTCAGAATTCCACTTCTTATAAACACTTCTACTTCTGCTTCTACCAATACTACATTTGTCAAGTGTCACCTGTGTACTATGCACACATTTCCTATTATTGCTGTTATTGCAATGTATTAAAATGTGTGTACACCAGAGGTTTTAAAACTTTAATGTGCGTCAGAATCACTTGGAAAGCTGAGCTTCACCCTAGAGTTTCCAATTCAGCAGGTCTGGGTAGGACTAAGAAAGAACTCTGAGAAAGATTTTAAATTTCTAAAGACTTTACAGGTGATGGTGATGCTACATATAGATAATTCTTAATCTAGATAATTGCTGAATGTTAATGAAATCCATAGGAGCTGAAGTTGGTCTTAGTCATCTTGGTTTCTCCAGGTCAGAGAACAATGGCAAAGGAGCCCCACTAAAATAATTAGTGATCGTTATTTTAGCTTATTTCCTTCACAGTTATCTAGAAATATTATGAGTATACAACATTGTGCCCCACCCCCAATTTTCTGTCTTAAAGAATTAAATCTACTAAAAGGTAATTTTGTCGTTTACACCTTTGTATTTATGATATGAAATTAAACAATATAGGAAAAAAACACTGAAAAAGTTTTTCAGTGTCTGGGGAAATTAAGACATGATAAGTTAAAAGTTAACTTGTTTTAATGATAGACTCTGAGTAGTGGCTAGAAAACAAGGACTTTTTTGGAGGGAGTACTGGGGATTGAACCTATGGCTTCACATGCTAAGCAAGTGCTCTACTACCTGAGCTTCACCCCAGCCCTTTTGGGTATATTTTGTTGTGAAGCAGGGTCTTGCTAACTTTGCCCAGGCTAGCCTCAAACTTGCAATCCTCCTGCCTCTGCCTCCAGAGTAACTGGTATTACAGGTGTAAGCAACCATGCCTGACATTAAAAAGTAAGTTTGATCACTTTTCTTATAGAATCCTGGGTCCTATGTTTATATAATATAATCCATTCTGCTACAGCATGTTCCTCATATCTCCCTAAGTACCCCAGATCAAAAAGAAAGTACACTCAAGAAATTATGGAGCAAGGGCACAAGGAATCAACTTCTATATATGACTACCCTTCCATTCAATGCCATATAGCTAGACTGCATGCCCAGCTCCTATTTCATTTTGCTTTTCTGTTTGTTTTCAACCTTGTTGAACAAGATTTGAAACCCTCTGCCTTTACTCCTTTATTCTTTATTTTATAATTTTGAATTTTAAAATATGACATCTTTCAACCCTGACTTGGTGGTTTCTTCATGGAGTAGTAGGAAGAATATATTCCAGAAATTAGAAAGTTTTGGTCAATGTCCCACTTCCTCACTTATTAGTTATATGTACCTTGGTAAATCATTCAACTTTGGTTCACTTCAGAATTTTAATCTATCAAATGAGAATATCTGGGTCAGGGAAGTTCCAGTCCATCCATATAACAGAACAGTTTTAAAATAATAATTATATAATATACAATATTAGAAAGCACTCTATACTTGTAGACCATAGTAATTCATTATTCACTGACAGTGGGGACACTCTTTTAGTCACTAAAGGAAAACAAAAATACTAAAAAAAAAATAACAAATGATGTCTCTTATTATAACTAAAGAAGTTACAATTCAATAGGAAAGGGAAAATTAATGGACCAGAGTTCTAAAGCAAAATCACCAAGTCCTCTCCCCTTAAAAATTTCTCTCTAGGGCTGAGGATTTTCGTTCAGTGGCAGAGCACTTGCCTAGAATGTGTAGCATGAGACCCTGAGTACAATTCCCAGAATTGCCCAAAATAAATAAATAAAAGAAAGAAATACTCTCTGGAAATGAACCAAAGACTTAAAACAAAGTGAGTGAAACTTATTCGTGAAAAATTACTGAACTTTAGGCAAAAGCACTGAGAATCTGCAACATTCCTGACTGGGGCTACTCTCCTTCCCACACCTGCCACTGTTTCATCACTGTAGTTCTAATTGGGTAGGGCGGGACATAAATAACCAGCAGCTTCCCTGGCAGTGGGAGCTGACTTGATTTAGAGCAAAAGACAAAAACCCCTTGGCCTCTGGCATTACCAATAATAAGTAGCAATCTCAGAAGCAAGCTAACAGGGAGGGTCAAAAGAGGTTCCTTGAGACTGTAGTTCTAATTAGGAAAAGCAACAGGCCAGTGGACTAATCAGAAATTTAACAGGATGATAAGGCAATCAGGAAGTGACTGTGGCATTCAAAAGCTCTCTACATACCCCCAGCTGACTAGAAGCTCCATTGTTCAGAGTTGGGTGTCACCTAGTCATACATTCTAGCCTAAATGGAGCTTCACGTAGGCAAAAAATAAACAAGAGAGCCCAGTGGCAAACCAAAGTAGGAGCAGCCCAAACTTTGAATGGACTTCTGAAAGTACTGAAATTCAAGAACACTCAGAACCTCATAATGGGACCTTATTTGGAAATAGGGTCTTCATGGACACAATTGAGAAGGATCAAGATGAGATTATCTGGATTTAAGTTTGGCTCCCAGTCAACTGCCTGATGTCCTTACAGAAAGAAAAGAGAACACAGAGAGACACACAAAGAAGAATGCCATGTGAAGGCAAGAAACAGAAATTAGAGTTATGAATCTGAAAGCAAATGAATGTACAGGGCTATCAGATTTTGGAAAAGTCAAGAAGTATTCTCCTCTAGAGTTTTTCTGGGACTGTGGCCCTGACAATACCTTTCTATAGGATTTTTGGATTCCAAACTTATATCACTGCCTGTATACCAAGGTGATAGTCTCTAAATTTCATAGATTTCATCTAGATAAGTTGTTAAACAAATGAACAGCAACAACAACAAATCCCCTCTCAAGAAAACCCAGCAACAATAACCTTTAATCTGAGAAAGTGAGAATGTGTATATGTGTGCATATACATAAAACACATTAAGTTTTAAAAGTCTCAAACTGGAAACAATATAAGTGTCAATCAACTGAGGAATGGATAAATATATCCTATATCCACGTAGTGATATATATTCAACAACATAAGGAAAGTAACTATTGATATATAAAGATTTAGTTTTCCTTATCCTAAATGCTTGGAACAAGAAGTGTTTCAGATTTCAGAGGGTTTTTTTTTTTTTTTGGAGGGGGTTGGGAATATTGATATAGAGTTTAAAGTACTAAGCACCACTAATCCAAAAATCTGAAATCAGAAATGCTCTAAAATCTGAAAATTCTTGATGATAATATTGGTGTACTACAAATGCATGACTCTCAAAAATATTAAGTGAAAGAGACAAGACACAGAACACTACTCATTGTAAGACTGTATTTTAGTAAAATGCCCAGAAACTATGTTAAGAAAAGAAAATCATAGAGAAAGAAAGGGAATGCTGCACACACAGAAACTTTTTGGCGTGAGGGGGATGTTCTAAACCTGGTTTGTATCACTGCCTATAAAATATACAATTCCTAAAAATCATTGAATTACATACTTAGAATAGATGAATTTTCATATTAAATTTTACCTCAATAAATCTATTTTAAAACTAAAAATCAATATATGATAAACAAAGGAAAAAGAGTTAATATAAGTCAGAGTATAATGGCACACTTCAGTTTTGAGTGCAAACTAAGTGCTATTGGACCATTAGGATAAAATGGAATAGAAGTCAATTGAGAAAGCTGCAAAGCTTTAGTCTGAGTCTTCAAAGGAAAGGAAGACTTGAATTTAAAAAACAAAGAGAGAGCATTACATCCAAAACTGTGTTTGGGAGGAAGCAATGAGGAGTGCCCAAATGAGTTTAGCAAGATCAGGTTATGGAAATACAAGAAAATATGCACAAAGGATGAGGCTATGAGAGGGTCAGAAAAAAAAATGTACTCATTCAGTGAATCCATGAAGCCAAGGATTTTTTGGAGGTTTTTTGTATTATTTGAAAGGAAAGTGTGGCAAATAAAAATGCCTGTGAAGAAACTGTACTCTTTATAAGAAACAAAAATATTCAGGGACTTCATAGGTGTATATAATAAGTAATCCCATTGTGACTTGGAGTCTAAAATCTAACTACTTTGGGAATAAAAGATGTACTTGCCACATTCTTAAGTATTTATTGTTATTTTTAATAAAAAGCCAAGAACAATGAACAAATGCCACATTTTAATGAGTTTACTACTCCATTCCAGATTATTTTAAAGGATTTTTTTAAGAAACAGAAATCTTCTAAAAAACCTATTCACATGTCAGTGTATCATGCACAATTTGATTTATTAAAAGAGCAGATTCTTTTCAACGCAGCTAAATTGCTAAGATTGCTGAGGTTAGCCTGGCTCAAAAGACCAAAAATCGTATGTTCTCCCTCATATGTGGACATTAGATCAAGGGCAAACACAGCAAGGGGATTGGACTATGAGCACATGATAAAAGCGAGAGCACACAAGGGAGGGGTGAGGATAGGTAAGACACCTAAAAAACTAGCTAGCATTTGTTGCCCTTAATGCAGAGAAACTAAAGCAGATACCTTAAAGCAACTGAGGCCAATAGGAAAAGGGGACCAGGAACTAGAGAAAAGGTTAGATTAAAAAGAATTAACCTAGAAGGTAACACCCACGCACAGGAAATCAATGTGAGTCAATGCCCTGTATAGCTATCCTTATCTCAACCAGCAAAACCCCTTGTTCCTTCCTATTATTGCTTATACTCTCTCTACAAACAAAATTAGAGATAAGGGCAAAATAGTTTCTGCTGGGTATTGAGGGGGGGAGCGGGAGGGGGTGGAGTGGGTGGTAAGGGAGGGGGTGGGGGCAGGGGGGGAAATAAACCAAGCCTTGTATGCACATATGAATAATAAAAGAAAAATGAAAAAAAAAATTAAGCCAAAAAAAAAAAAAAGATAACTCCAAGTCACCTAACTTTTCACTTTTGAACAATTACTTTTCTGAAAATTAAGAAGAAGTGAAAACAAAATTATTGCATGGACAGGATTCGGTTATTTAAGTCTCCATCCCATCCTATCATTTAAGACAAAAGTCCGAGGATCAGCATGTATACAAATAACACTGAGCCAAGCTTTGGTTTTGCACCCTTGCCATACAGTGTATTTCCAACCAGAAAATCATTCAGCTAATACCCATTCTTTTTCCATTTGTATCTACCACATTTTCACCAAATATTATTTATATATCTTATCAAATAAAGTATGATCTAGGTTGCAGTAAAACTTCATGTTAATTACAAATTTAGATTATAGTTACTTTTAGTAATTCCCCTAAATTTATAGATGAGAGTTATATTTTGAAAATAAAATGTATGTAACTATGCCACTTCAGGATACATACGAGCATATCTCTATACCACTGTCTGTGTTAAACTCATTAGGAATTTCATCCCCTCATATTAAGAAAATGTAGAAAACTCTAGTTCTGAAAACAGCTAACTGGAATTGAGCCAGCCCTATACCTAGTCAGGAGCCAGGCTCAGCTCTTGACTCTGCCCAGAGTTAGACAGTAACTTTGAGGAGCACTCCAACTCAGGATTCCTGTCATTTTCCTCATCTACAAAATGGAAGGGACAAACTCTGGAATACTATGGCAAGATGAGACAGAGTAAATTACATTTTCACCAAATACATAAAATGGGAAAGTAGTTTCTAGGATGATTGAGCATCATATTATGCTTCATTTTAACTTAAAACACTCAAGGATTTACTCTTGCTTGGGTTGAGAAGTTTAAAATATGTATTCCTAAATGTACAGTTGTATTTTTATTTTTAAGGGCTTGAATTTTTTTCATGAATAGTCACTCTTTTTAATTAACAAGATAAATCAGACAGGCCACTGAAGAAACTGTTAAGAAAGTAATACTAGTTTTATCAACTAAAAGAAATATTTACATTTGAGAAATCTTGACATGGACTTGGAAATTAAGAGAATAGTTGCTTAAGTTAAGACACAACAAATGTAATCCTATAGCACACTTCCTTTTCATTACTACTCCAGTAAACTAAAGAAGAAAAACACTGTAGTACAATATGTGAAAACATATATTGGATATAAAAATTATCTTATGCTGACAAACATGGATTTATGATCAAATAGAAGCAGAAATGTACTAAAATGTTTTTTTAGCCAAAGTTTGCATCATGTTTTATTTAGGTGTGAGTCACCTTGGAGTTTATTGGATTTGCGATTTTATCAAAACATACCTCTAAAGAACAAATTGCCAATCTGTTATTTTTCTCTTAGAATAACATATGATATAATTCACTATGGCAAGCCAGATAGTTAACTTGTAGTTTGAGGGACAGCTTATTTGAACAACATTTTAATGATCATATATCTCTACCCCAAATTAATCTGTTACTGAGTTAAATCACTCTAAATTCCTTCTTCCGCAATCTGTAAGAGTAATTGCTGCTTCAGTTTCAATCATTGAACAGTAAATCTAGATATACTTTTAGGCAGCTGGCTTATAAGTCCCCGGATATGCATAATTCCATAAAGTGATAGAAGTCACTTTGATATTATATCAACAACAACTTATCTATAACATCGACCCCAAGCAATTAAAAAAAATTCACAATTTATGTGTACCTTTTTCAAGTAGTTTGCCTTTGTAGACACATAGGTTTTCCCCACCACAGTGCTGTTGATAAACTATTATTTCATCTCGGAAGTCTGTGTCTTCATAAGATAGGTGCACATTTTTCCCCAAATAGATCATTGTAATAGCTGCATTACTATGCAGTGATGTTTTATGAATCCTTCCTGAATCCTAGAATAAACAAAAAAGAGGCTCATTAACTAATTACCTTCTAATCAGAGTTCATTATTCTCAAATGACATTATAATGAGAATAGAAAAGGCTAATTTTACGTACTTACTAACAAAACCTTTATAAATTATCAGTTTACACAGTTCATAAAAAGTCAAGATCATTACAAATAAGTCCCACTGAACTACTGCATATACATTTTGGTTTCATATTTTGTAAATGATGGGGATTTGGACAAAGTTTGTCATTTTTCCATTTTAGGTCTGCATGTGTATTTTACATATAGCAAAAATGTCAGTAACACTAGGAGGAAATGACTTTGGGTTCTTTAGCTACTTCTCAAATAAAAATTCAAACAATTTAAATAAATGTGTGCCATCATTTTGTTCTAATCCAAATTGACATTGAATATGATTTAGCAATAGTTTTTGTAATTGACTGCTTTATCTTTACAAGTAAGCATTGACAGGCAGCACATCCTCCTCTGAGTTCTTTCTATCTATGAAGAGCACTTGCATGCTGAGTCCTTCTGTGGTCATGCTGAGGACGAGGGATTACATCTGTCATGGACCTGGGATTATCCAGTTTCATAAAAGGCAACAGTTCAATGAAAAACAATACTGTTCAAAGCAATATACCCAACAAGCTTTTTAAAATTACCTCATAAACCTATTTGATATTCTGTGGCATTGCTCAATTTAAATTATTTGTAAAAGAGGCAATAAATGTATATGCCAGATTTTAAAAGAAATGTCCTAGACACAGCCTCCTAATTTATATTCTGAAATGTTTTCACCTACCTGGAGAAGGAAGGAAAGGAAAAGGAAGACTAGAGTGGGTACGAGGGTTGAGTAAGAGGCCTTAGTAAGAATATTGTAGGCCTCTAGAACTGTGTGAAGGCCGGGCTTTGCTTGTAATCTCCTTCACTTTTCTAAAAATAACTTTTTAAGTAAGTGAAATATGTAGAGAGACAAACTTTCAGTGGATGCAAGGCAGTTATTTTGGGCTTGAGTTCATCAAATTATGGTTACACGGAAAGCATTCATTTAAAAAAAAAACTAAGCTACAACAAAAATTTTCTGAAGGAACTACTAAAATATTTCCATCTCCACTCTCACCACCTCCATCTCAGATTTGTTTTTATTTAATTGTACTTCTTTGAAACAAAAGCCAGAGGAAAAAATCTGATGAAATGAAATTCTACAAACAATAATCTGAACTGTATAAACAGTGGGGGCAAGTCCAGGATTTAGAATTATTTGAGCAAATTGTCATGCCTGTGAAGAAACCGAGCTTTCAAACAGAAAGAGAATCAACAGAGATACTTTACAGACATCAAGAGTCCTGAAGGCAAAGTGGGAGCTGAATAAAGCCTTGCAGATTAGAAGCATCACCCAGAGTTACAGTGGAACGAAAAGGCAGGATGGCAGCCTGGCTCCTGCTTGCAAAATCTAACCTTGTGTCCTGCCTGGACAGTTGTGGGGCTGCGACGTGCACATGTGCAGCACACTACACCCTTGGCATGCTCCAAGCAACTCCAGCTCCCAGCTCATGCTACAATAATAAATGAACTGACTAAATAAACACATCTCTTTTTCTGTTAAGCAATACTTTCTGAAATGGCATGGATTTAGAGGTATCCCTCTAAGCTTCTGGGAGATAAGCACTCTGTAAATACAAGGTTATAGTGGGATTAGCGTGAGGGAAAGGCCAGCCTCTTACGTATTAAGTAAGAAACTGGGGGGAGAAAGTTTTTAAAATAACATAAATGACAATCATTCACCCTTTACATTTCTTATAGTTTTTGTGCTAAAGCATATTTATGATAGTAACATCTCTTTTCTCTCAAATCATCACTTCATTCTCATTTTTTAAAAAATTCCCCAATTATTTCCACCAAATAAACTTTTCTGAATCCTAACAGGAGGCCTGACAGCCCATGATTAAATACATGTGCTAAGAAACAAACCATTGTTGTTTTTTAACTGACTAAATCAACTCTATACTTACCATCTTCCAAGATTATAATGACCCAGACTGATGAAACTTTAACAAAATTTCATAGCTCTTTCTGCTGCCCTCAAGCAAGTATCAAAACTTTCCTATGAACATTCAGCTCGATTTCAAGGCTACATGGCCCTGCACAACCAAGCCTTCTTCCTTCACCAGTTGTTTATGACTTCCCTTCTACTTCTTTTCAGATTCTGGACACAAGTACAATGTGCTAAATATAGCCCATGGAGTGGTTCATCAGTCAGGCATTATATATTTGCAATAATTAGCACTTGATATACTCTGTTTTTACTGGGATATCTTTTATTCCTGCCCAGGCCTATCTAAGGGGTGCATTTGAGATTGAATAGTTGTCAAAGCACCAGTTCTTACTGGTAGTGTTAGACAACTTCTTTGCTTTCAGTTAATCAAATCCTGGTGAACATGGAATATTACAAGGTCTTACCCTCAAATGAAACAAAACAAAACACCCTGTCTTTTAAATGTGATGGCCTCCTGATCTATAGGTCTCACCGCTCATAAAATAAAACAAAGACTGGGGAAGTGGCTCAAGTGGTCAAGTGGTCAAGTGGTAGAGTGCTTGCCTAGCAAGAGCAAGGCTCTGAGTTCAATCCTTAGTACTTCAAAAAATAAATGAATAAACAAATGAATGCACAAACAAATAGCCAGGCAGAAGAATTTAGTGCTTTCATCAGGGAAAGGATGGCTAAAGAAGATTGTAAACAAGGGAGAAATGTGGTGGGAGTTACTCTACAAGGTCTAACAACAGCATAGAGAATCTAATAAACTGAGATAAATTTTACTTATTTTTTTCTCCTTCCTAACTTTCATCCTTTCATTCTGTCTGCCACCTTCCTACCTCACTGATCAAGCCCATTTCAAATGCTCTTTTCTCTGAGGCATTCTCCAGTCTTACTCAGAACTAATATTTCCTTCCTTGATGTTCGCACTGTACCTTATTTTTATCACAATGATGGCATTCATCACAATGTATCAGGGTTAATTGCATGTATTTCCACCTCCCTGGCTAAATTGTAATATCCTAACAAGTATTTAATCTTGCTCATTTTGGTAACCTTAACACCTAGCGTAGTATTTGCCATAATCAACTGAGCTATTTGTTGATTTACAGGCAGGACATAAGTCTACAGATGATTGTGATAATCCCATTAAGAGTTAGTAAGCCCCTGAACTAGAGATGTAGCAGTTAGTTTTTGTCAGACACATAAGCCATTGTCAAGGTGGTATCTACAGCTCTCCTAAGACAGAAGCCATTTAGCCCATTTGGCTGTTAGGCATTTTGAAAGATGTCTTGTTTGAATGACATGTTCTGTAAATAAAAAATACTCCTTTAATTTCAAAGACACAGTATAAAAATGCATAATACTTTCTTAAAATATTTCATATTGATTACATGTTAAAATGATATGTTGGACATACTAATTTAATTAAATAAAATAGATGATTACAATTATTAATAGCTATTAGAAGATTTAAAATTTCATATGTGGTTTGCATAATATTTCCATTGAACAACTTCAGTCTAGAGTTCTTAGCAATTAACTGAATGCTTGATGCAGAGGGAAGAAGGAATTCTAGTTTTTAAGAGCAAATTATTAGAGAAAAGCTTGTGCTTGAAGAGAAATTAGGCAATTAAGTGGACAGGCTGGCTTAATTTGTAACTATGTTGAATTTGAGGGGGAGTAGGACCTAACAATCTGGAATTGACTCGATCTTGTTTGGAGGCTAGAAAGTGGAGGGGATTTTGATGGGATATGAGGAAAGTCCCAGATTAACATTCTCAGAGGACCTCTTTGCCCTATTTTTCACAACATATATTAGAAATAAAAATAAGCTTTGTTTTGCATTTTTAAAATTGATAAATATATCTACTAAGTAGATTCTTATTTGAAAAGCTTTAGTCTTACATTTATAAGAGCTACTTATGGAACTATCCACATTTTCAGTAGGCTGCTGCTGTGTAGAGCAGGTAATGAGGAAGGTCAAGCTCTCTCAATCCTGAGTGGAACACAGTAATCTGGAGGTAGGTGAAGTAAACATCAGTGTAAAACCTAGCTCTACCACAGATTCTACAAATGCTGTAAAGAGTTCTGAAGGTACTTGAGTAACATGGAACAAAGCAACAGAGCACAGAGGCAAATTACTTGACTGTATTTTTACCTCTTTCCTTCCTTTTAAGATCATCAGAAGGATAAGGATACTTTGCTTTATGGCATTCATAAAATGAAAGAGTGGCATCATGTATAAATAAGTCACAAGATCATCTCCCCTTCAATTAATCTTTTCTATATTTAAATAAAATAAACAGAGGTACTGATGTAAAAGTACCCAACTCTCTACATTGGCTTATTTTACTCTATTCCATGCCTCATGGATGTGGGGCCAGAGACAAAGCTAAAAGATGTATAGTAAATTGTTAAAACTATGTGGGATGATAGCTACATCTTGAAAAGAAAGACAGGTGTCAAGGTTGAAGATTATGATGATGGCTTGATTCAAGCGTGAAGACAAAGAAGAGTCAAAAGGAGTTAAATTAGAGATAAAAGGCAATAGCGAAGAACCCATGAAAGTAGAGTACCTAGTAGGCAAGAGAAAGAAGTTTCAAGGAAGAGAAAGTAGTAGCATAAATACTGCTCTCAAAGAAAAATCATGATGAATAGAAAAATGCAAATTGTGATGAAAGTCTAAATAGATCGCTAAATGAAATAAATGTAATAGGACTAAACTGATTACTGTAACAGAGATTCTCAGATTGAATTAAAGACAAAGCACCCACATGCTGAATTAACACACTGAAAAGTCTAAAGTTTAAATAAAATGCCAAAAGGGTGAAAGTCAAGGAAATATACATACATATTTCTTAATACATATTAGACAAAATAGGTGTTAAGACAAAAGGTAATAAGTGATAAAGGATTATTTGCAATGATATATAATCATTTCACCAGTAATATAAAATAATACTAAATCTGAAAGCATATAAAAAGGTATTCTAAACATTTACAAAACAGAACTTGTCATAATTATTAGGAGAAATTGACAATTTCACAATTACACAGAATGAATTATCATTTTCACTTAGGAACTGAGAACCCAAGAAGATACAGAAAATAATGATATAAAAATATGAATGAACCAATACCTGTATTTTAGACATTTATGATCCTAAAATTTGAAGAATTATATTCTTTCCCAAAACTGAGCATATATTAGCCCACAAAGCAAGTTGCCACAAATATCAAAGAATTAAAATGTCTCAGAACAAAAATAAGATGCTTTTAAAGTAACATTAAGTGAACACACAAGAACCTCTTAAAATTAAAATATGGCAGCAGAAGAAAAAATCTCAAGAGAATATGTGGAAGATAAAATTGAAGAACTCTTTCAGTAAGTAAGACAAAATGACAAAGAAGTAGAAAGCAAGAGAGAAAATATAAGAATATTAGAGCATTGGTCTAGTAGTGCTAACATTACCACAAAGGATATTCCAAAAAGAAAAAACAGAGATTTTAAAAAAGACCAAGTGAGACTGAAGTCTTATGACTAGAGACAGACATGCTGAGGTCTGTCAGAGCCAGGATGCCTGTGGACCCCATACTGTGCTTCTAAGCTGAATGCAGACTCCCAGAGGAATCTGGCTCAAACAGTGGTCTGTGCATCACTTGTCATGACAGTAGGATGAAGGAATGTCTGATCTCTCTTCTTTAGTCAGATAGAGAAGCCCATTCCCCTAACCACATTCCTGCTGTACACACAGAGCCTGGCCCATAGTAGGACCAGGCACCCTGATTGTGGTGAGTCCCATGTTTCCTCCAGCACACTCATGATGACCTCACTTCTTTGACTTCTCCAGAAGGGGTGCCTAGACCTAACCCAAATATTCTATTCAACTTATAATTCCCTGAAAATTTTGTCCCTTCATTACAAAGCTGGGTTTGAGCTTATTTATGAAGCTTTGTGTATGTAACTAATAAATCTCTAAAGAAAAGCAAAGGTACAGTTAACATGGAAGTCAATATAGTTGGTTGGTCTGGGAAGGTCAGGCTGTGATGGGGAAAAAAATAAGGTTTGCATGTAATATGATAATAAAGATCTACTTCATTAAGAAGTGGTTTATATGTGGGTGCTCCATTATTTTTTAACTTGTACAAATAGATTTGACACATTCTTATAGTTCAGGAGATTTACAATTACTTTTAGAGTTTATCCAAGTAATATAATTCAACATCAGAAAAATCAAATGCTGCCACCCAAGTATTTAAAGATGATAAGAAAGGCACTGTTTTCGCTAATGGGGGACACACACTTCAAAGGACTGTGTTCATTGGCTTGGTGCCATCATACATTGGTTCAAAAGATGACAGTGGATGTGGTAGATTCTATTATCATTCCAAATATTCACTGTCTTTCTCCGTGAGAGGATAAGGGTTACCACTCTGTGGCTGTCAGGCTTGACCATGAAGCAGCCATTGCAATGGAATTCAAGTGAACAGCATATGCCACAAGAACGTGTGATGGTCTTGCTGTCTATTAAGCCAACACACTCCAGACTCTATGGTCTGAGCTACAGCTGTAGTCCAAGGTTCAGATTTGCAGCTGCTAAACAAAGATGATCATGGGATCAAAAAACAAAACTTTGTTGTTATAAGCTGGAGTTGTTCGATAGACTAAGCTTCAGTAAGTTACTCTTTGCAGCAATGAAAGGAGAAAACTGATGGCTAAGGTTATAGTTCGTGATGAAAGAACTTAGTTACTCCATATAAAGCCTGTGTGTGTTGAGAGGCAGAAAAAATAGAGGCAGAGTAAAAATCCAAATTAGAGAGGGGGATGGCAGACAGCAAGGTAGTACAGACCATGCAAGGGTCAAAGATCAAGGACATGGGGCAAAGTATGGTCCTCAAGAGTGAGAAAGACATTCTATCAGAGACAGTAATAAAGGAAGCTAACTGGTAAAAATCAAGGTGAAAGAAGGAAATTTGAACAAGCAGGAGAAAGAAGGCCATAGTCCTTTGACAAAGTTAAAGGTAGTGGACAGTTGCTGGTAGTGAAATGTGGACATGGTGAAAAGAGAGACTTCAAAAGTAAGGCTGGTTCTGATGATTCAGAATGCAGAGTTTGGGTGTATACTGATATTTCACTCTCTGATGTTCAATCAGGGAAATGTTGATAAACCTATCTGCTAAGAATCCCCAAAGTTACGTATAATTAGTAGTGTTATATTTACATAATGAAAGTGAAGAGATATTTTGCCTTCTTATTAGCTTGAATTGCTATGAAGTTCACCTTGCCTTAGAACTATGTTCTTTATCAGAATTTTCAGGAAATTAGAACCACAAACTACAATTTTTAAAAAACACTGAAAGAATTTTTTCTAGCTAAGACACATTAATTTTCCATAAATCATAAAAAATAAAATTTGATAAGGTATATAATATTTTCCAGGTATATTTAAGTCCCTGAACTCCAACAAATTAAATATTAAGATATTCTGAATCAGCAAATGATTTAGAAATGAGAGTTCAAACTAAATTTGAACACAGGATTTAATGTCTGTCATCAAGTGTACTAAATTAGTTTGCTCAACCAAGCTACTCAAATACTCAGTTTTAGCTTAGAATTATACTTATAAAATTATTATATTTCTTTATGCAATGGATTTTCCAATTGATTCCTACAAATTCTTCTTCTACATATGTAGAATTCTAATAGTGCAATATAATCTTCATTAAATTAATAAGAAAAAAATTGATTTGATAATCACCCCAGTAAAGAGAGGTTCTAAGCCATTTGGAGCAGTGATAGGACGAACTCTCCTCCTTTTCCATGTTTCAGATCGATTTTCCTTCGTGACCTTTGGGGGAGGAGGTGAAGGTATCATAGGTATCACGTAACTGTCAATGTTTGGAAATTGATATAGATTCGTTTTCTGTGAATTGCCCATGGAGTTTCTGAACTTCATCATTGCCTTCTTGCCCTGTAATCACATTTTATGATGATTACAATGAGACATTTGATGATGAACCGATGAAACAGAAGCAGAAACCCAATGTGACCCAAATTGAAAGACAAGTCTGTACAATGGATATTACATTCAAACACAGCTGATATCAATAGACAAACCAAAAACATTTAAATCAGGTGACAAATGGATTTGTAGTATCCATAAAAATGTAAATATTCATAAATTTCTCACCTTATGTTAGCATAGTTTCAAGCCAACATACAGCCTAAGAAACACTTAAATGGGATTTTTCCTCAACGATCATCTAAATCTCTAGGAACCTACTACAACTAAACAATTAAAAATCAAGAAGTTTCTAGTGTTATACTTTGAAGTAGAGTTGGATAGTATATTCAGCAATAGAGAGTTGTACTTTTTTCACATTCTGATTTTACAAATCCAGACATTAGAATATCCAGGATTGGCAAGGCTATAAACAAAATGGCAACTTCCAGACACTATTTAAGATTATTATTTCAATCTTTATGAAGAGCAAACTAGACTAACATAGTGCTAAAGTACATAATCTTATACCTAGAAATTCTAACAGTAGGAATAAACTCTACAGAGATAACTACACTGGTACCCTAGCATAAATGTGCACAAGGATACAGACATACACTTGCATATACACATTTACATATCGATATATATGCATATACATAATTGATCTGAAATATCAAAAAATGCAACATCCTAAAATCCTTTCAATAGGAAGATATTTAATTAAATTTGGCTAGGTATGATAGATTTTCACTAGGTTATAAAAAGAAAAAATGTGAATCTACAGATGCTAACTTAAGAGTGCATTATAATGCATTCTTTTTAAAGAATTTATATGTGGATTTTGACTACAAAACAAGGGTGACTGGGAAAATTTAAACATGGAATTGTATTTGGGAATATGTCTTCATATCTTTGAAAGTTTAATCACCATATATTACCTTAATTATTCAAATCTAAAGGTATGGTCAATAATTGCATTATATTTTCAGGTATAGTCTAGTCTATATATTTTCACAAACTAATAGTTTCTGTGTATCTGAGGTACTTTTCCAAACCTTAAGGAATCTTTAAGGATTTTTATCCATTTTACACCAATATATTTGTCTGTATATGTATTTTTATTTATATGATATAAATTTATATTATATATTTATTTTTAAGTAATTAATTTTCATTCAATTTAGTCCTTATTCAAGATTCTTAATAATGAAAAATTTATTTTTAAGAAAAGTAAATTATTCTCCAAATATTTTTCACTGCTAAATAAGTAAAAGCATATTTCTAAAGGTATATGTAGCCCAAATTTTGATTGAAAATAATATTTTTGTGAACAAAAAGGTATTTAAATATATATTAACCAAACAGTTTACTATTGTTAGAATTATTGATATTGCAATGTATTATGTTCTTATTTTTCTTTTTTCTTACCCTTTTCTTTTTTTCTGCAATGGACTGCTTTTATATTGGAATATCAGATAAAAACAAGTAAAAGTAATAGGAATAACAAAATCGATGAATCTTGAAGTTTGAGGGTTTGGAAATTTTTCTTTAATTTTTTTCTGACTAGGTGTCAGTCAGTTGCATACCTTGTTTGCAAATGGTTTTATAATTTAAAAAATTAACATGTTCTTTAACTTGCTTTTCTAGCCCAAAGCATCTTGGTTATCCTTCCATGCCCTTATAAATACTCTATTTTAAAAATCTACTTCAATATGCTGACATTGTCAAGAAATATACCAATTACTTAAGTTTCTTTCAATTGTTCACTATTGCAAATATGACAATACAAACTATCTTTCAATCTATTTCTTTTCATATATGTTTATGTTCCTTGGATAGAATCCTACATGTTAAAACATGAGCACATTTATTTAAAGCTGTGATGGATATTCCCAATATTGCCTTCACAAATAGTTGTACCAATTTCTACTACTGCCAACAGTATATGAGAAACTCTCATTCTGAGGATATTCATTTTTAGTCAAGTGATTTTTTTACTTGATTGTACTTCAACTAATGTTTTTGATCAAAACACGTTTTCCTGAATAAGACCACCCCATTCCTGCTACTCCACAAAGTTTAACCTACTTTTATCTTTTGTACTTTTAACTATTTCCCATATGTAATATCTTTTTACTACTTATTTTTTGTAGTATTGGAGTTTGAACTTCAGGCCTCGTGCTTGCTAGGCAGGCACTGTACCACCTGGTCAATGCCTCAAGCTCTTTTTTGCTTTGGTTATTTTTGAGATAGGGTCTCACATTTATGCCTGGGCTAACAGGGACCATGATCTTCTTATTTAAGCTTTCCATATAGTTGAGATGACAGGCATGTGCTACCATCCCCAGCTTTTATTGGTTGAGATGGAATCTCAGGAAATTTTTGCCCAGGCTGGCCTCAAACCATGATGCTCTTGATTTCTGCCTCCCAATTAGCTAGAAGTATTTTCTTGAGCCACCATAATCAGCCTATATCCTTTAATCTTCAAAAAGCAATAATAATTCATTAGATGTTCACTATGTACAGACTTAACAATCATGCTGACTACTATTCTTCAGTAGGAGTTTCTTACCTGATTTTACATTAAAGTATTTCCATCATCAGTGCCACTGGAAGAAAGAACATGTCTTTTCTACAGTATATTTTCCTTGTGTACATTACACAATAAATTCCAAGAAATTGCTTTTGTCTTCCTTGGTACCATGTATCAGCAAATTTTAGACCAGTACTTAGCCCATGGTACTGAATGAAAAGTGAGTTTAGATAATCAAAACTAACATGGGATTGATCTCAATCTTGTCAGTATGTGAGCTTTCACTGGGTGTCTATCCTTCAAAAGCCCACATCCCCTAAGCTTGGAAACAGGAAAATGAGTCGCTATATAGATTTAGTTAGTCCAATGGCTCAGAATAGATTTAGAAAATCACCTGAAAGAGAGAAAATATTGCTCCCTAGACAAAAGAACTTGAATACTGTCTGACTGATAGTGCTCAAATATCTACGAAAATGTACCAAAGTAGAATTAATAATTGTAGGAGCTTAGAAAAGAACATAGTCACCTGGGCAAATACGGAAACTACTCATTGGGGTACTATTTAGAGGACAGGAAATCCTTCCCATTAGACTTTGAATATTTCCAGTCCTAATGGGAAAGTTATCCCTGGAGAATAAAGAGGGTGTAAACCAAAGACCTTTGAGTTTTCTGGTTCTATTGGCAAACTCATTCCTAAGATATATGGGTTCATCAGGTCATCTTAGCCTGGCCCCACTGACATTCTGTTATGCCATATTCCCTTCATTCTGATTCCATGCTCACCAGGCAACCTTCTCATTGTGATCTGGCTTCCCATGTAGCTCTGCCCATGGGGAAGGGAGGAATACACTTTTTCTATATGAAGAGATATCTATTTGATATCTCTTAGTGAGTGAATGGACTTTGATTATGATACATTCTCTATTTTTGAAAACATTACCCTATTGTCTGTTATTTTTAGTTAGCCTGAAACAGTCTTCCAGGACCTTGCCATTCCTGGACATGGGCTGAAATAAGAAATCTGTAGTCCTTCAGTAGGAAACTCTATCCTAGAAAGTGACAAATGAGTTAACTTATGACCAATAAGTTCCTGCCTCTCTATTAGCAATCTCCTCAAGACAAAGATCCAGCACTTTTGGACTAATTTCTCCTGGTTTCTGAGAAGTTACCATTAAATTAACTGAAATAAGGTTGGTAAAAAGTGCTTACAAGTTGAAAAGCACACTAAATGCATTAAAATATTAGTTATTATTTTTAGAATTATATTTATACTTTTACTGTGAAACAATCATCTATTCACTTGCATTAATGTCTTACTGTCAAGGTTATCTGTCAGTTAAAGATAAAACATAACTTCATACGGGTTCTGTTTCCTAATAAGGAATGGAATATAATTCATCCCTTTCAACATAATGACAATTATATTCATGACACAAGTTCTTTCTTAAGCTGCAAATGTTTCTTCTTCATATTAGAAACTCAAACAATGCTCTCCCTAGTTAATGAATATCCTAATTATTCCTTCCTGCTTAAGTAATTCACATATCATAGTACCGTACCTCCTTCCTGCGCTCCATCTAAATGAGTGAAAATTACCAGGGACAAAGCCTTGAAAGAGAAGCATTAGGCAAGTTCCTGAGTGATTCACTCAGCATTTTTAAAAGGTGGACATTCTTTTCCTTATGTAATTCAACCTTCTAAGAATCAAACTTGAAGCAATTTCATACACTGATGGGAAAGTAAGTTGGCATGCAAATGCAAGCCTGTTCTCAGAAAGTATCATTTTCTAGGTGTCATGCATTTAAAATCTGGATGGAGTCGACACTGGGTCATTTCTGATAGAAGTCATTTCTAGCTTTGAAAAGTATTCCCTCTTTGTTTCTCAGTCAGCCTTTCTGTTTAATGAAAAATTACCACATATTATTATATACATCTTGCTCAATAACATAGAAATAAGTATTCTAGTTAGAATAAGATATAATTAAGAAGTACATAGTAAGTACTTAATAAATTCATAATATAGACTTCACTGCATAGATTTATTTAATATAGTATCTTAAAAACTGTGATAACCCAATATTCTGATCAAGAGTAAAAAAACATTGCTTGAAGAAAATAACATTTACCCCAATGGGAAACGGAACTTCATTTTCCATCAGTGAGGTTTTTGATCTGGACCCCGAAGTTATCTTTGGACCAGTTCTCAGTGTGTGATTACTGGGAAGAGGCTCTAATCGAATTGGAGGCTGCATATGTCCTGGGCAGTATATGGTCGAGGGGTTGTCTAGACGATTAGGGAAAAAAATTCCATTTAAATTAGTATCTTGACATGTTTCCAGAACCAATTAATAACCCAACAAATTGCCTAGAGTAATTAATGGTGCCTTTTTATTGAACAGATTAAACTTTAATTATGTCCTTCCATTATACATCCCCTCATGACCCAAAGTATTTGTTAAAGCATATGGTGTTGAAGTCATCTACATAACTAAATGCCACAATTATAGAGTATTCTAGACAAAGGAGATGTCCTCTATTACATTCCCATATTTTTATTCATACTGTAAACTCATTGACAATACTTAATTTATGCTGCATATAGAATGGCTTTGCTCAATTAAATTTTAAGTTAAATAATGTTTCTATTTTAGAGCCCTAAAAGGGTATTATTGGAATAGGGTTATTTCTATTTCAATGTTTTCAATATAAATTCTACTATGAATTCTTTAAGGCTTAAGGTTGATGCCAAAGAAAAATCAAGCAATAGGAAAAGCAGATATTAATTATAATGTATTACCATTTCTTCAACTGCTTCCTTAAGATATTAAGAAAACAAAAATGAGAAATTGTAACTGGCAATTTTGGAAGACACTCTAAGAAAAATGGATGTGTTTTCCATCAGAGACATTTTCCATTTGTCCCTCTATCCTGTACACCTTCTCTACCATGCTCTGGGCCCTGGGAGTCTTTTGCTTAGGAATTTAGTAGCCAACCACAGGAGAATTACAGGTGAATTCTACTAAGGAGAGACACTGGCAGGACAGAGAAGGACAACAAGGAAATGAAATGGAGTCTATTACCCTGGAATTGTCCCTAGAAGGTTGTAAAGAACCAGAAGTATCCCTAAACCTAAGTCCACTGCTCCTGTTAAGAAACCCTCTCCCAGCTACAGGTCCTAATTGCTGGTTCTGGAAACCAACCTCTCTCTTTCCACCCTAAGTCTGGGGCTGTGGTTTCCCCTTTGTGCTATCTTCAGCATGCTTAACATCCCTAGTTGATTTTCCTTCACCAAGCCTGCATCTTTGTAAATAGTTTCTTTATTAAACACTTCCTAATTACTCTATTTGTGTGAGCCATCTGTTTCCTGCTGAGCCCCCAACTGAGATACTTTCCAATCAAGAATGTACTGCAGTGAATACCAAAAGTACCAGCATGGAGCATTAGAAGTGCCTTTTGGGGCATCAACAGAATATTGTAAGTTTAGTATAAAGATTAGCAATGAGTCAAAAGTGGGATAAATGAAGCTTTTGCCCAGTTCTATTATATAAGATAGTAGAAAACCTCTCAAGAATCAGACATGCATATTTGGGTAAGAGGGTATGAGAAGGATGGCACTAAATGATTCATGAATAAAGCTTCATACTTTGACTCTAAAGAATGATGAACAACACATATTCAATTCTGGAAAAGTATATATAAATACACAAAAAATATTAGTACCATTTGACAAGTATGTCTCACCTGGATTAATCTCTGATTTTCTTAAGTTAACATTTACTGAATTATCATGATAGGTCCAGTAATGAGATAAAAAGTAACTTTTAACATCTAATAATGACATGGGACAATTAGTGTCAAGTAGATCACAAAATACTGCCAAACAAACAATAACAGCAAAATACCTGAGGAAAAACCTTAGAACTTAAAGTTCTTAGAATATTTAGATTAAACCAATGAAACTAATAAAAATTAAAGTTTCAGAGAAGCAGTTAGATTTTATCCAAATAGTGAAGCAGGAGAAGAAAACCAATAAGCAGAAAATTGTAAATTTAAACATCCAAGTAAGAGAGGCAGTTGTGAACAACACCTGTTTCCCCTTCTTCACTAGTAATAGAATTTTTATTTAGGAACATGACTGCTATACATAAAGATTGTATTTCCCAGAATCCCTTACAAGTCTGTATAGCTGTACACCTCAGTTTTGTCCAGTAAAATGTGAGCAGGAGTGATACATGAAGCTTCAAGACCACACCCTTAGAGAGAAGAAGTATGTCCTTACTTTCCCTTTTACCCCTTCCCTCTGGCTGGAGCATCCACATGGTGATACACAGTCTTGACAAGTGGATGAAGGCAACACCCTAAGTTTGGTAGATGAGTAACAGAAAAGGAACCTGAGCTTTTGATGACTTCATAGAGTAAAAATGGCATACCAGCTGAGATTCATATATGTGTGTTGGGTAGGGATGGGGCCCTTATGGTTAAGCCATTGTTATTTGGGGTCTCTACAACAAAAATGCAGCTGGATTAATTGAAATAGCATATGATTTAAAGAAATAAGAGATAATTCTATATGGGCCAAAAAGTTAAGGCTCTTTAAGTCCACACACAGAAATTAAACTAGAGATTTCTGAACAAAGGAATCAGATCACCCAAAGGAATTCTTTCTGGACTCTATAAAACAAACACGCCTTAAAACTCTTCTCTCGATTCAACCAAATACAAAAACATGAAAAATTTACTGTAGAGGTCCAAGAAAGCAGGTTACTGCAAACTAGAACATGATCTATTGGCTGTTGTGTACTAAATTTTACTTCCATGAATTTGCATACAAATATCATTCAGTTAGATGAATGTGGCAGTCAAATGTTTAACTGATTACATTTATCTCTAAAACCAAATCTGCACCATTAACTAACAGCTGTGAGCTACAAACTGTTGTAGTTCACATCAGAAGCTACTTTAAATTTGCTATATTTTAAATTGTAATATTTTCTTGGAATAAATATGGCACTGTGGCTTAGCATTCTCAAAACTGTGTAAGGATGTGAATTGAAATTGACTACCTGGTGATTAGTCAGCTTCACTGAACATTTCTAATTCCTAGAAGATCTCAGGGGGTGAATTTTCCAAGAATGTGTAGAATTAGTTGAAATGGCATTCCACAGTTTTTATGGTAGTGGTACAACTAAATGCCTGCATGCTATTTTGAAAGTTTAGGTGCAATTAGTGACCAACTGCACTAACATTGCACTGGATGCTTTTTTTATGGACTCAAGAAAGTTTGTTTTAAATCAACAGTGATAACCCATAAAGATTTTTACCTTCATCTCAAGGGTACTTAGAGGTCAGGAATGAAAAACAATGTGTGTCCAGGATGGGAAAAGGGACTTGAATTTCTGTAAAATGGGAAATACCATTCCAAGATCACAGTAGGTATCTCTTAGGTGCAAGAGCACCATAGGGAGTGACCATGTTAAAAGTCCTGGCATACCAAAGGGAAAGGCTTTTGAAATGCTGGTGTCAGTGTTCCCTGTAATTCTTAAATTACTTTCTCACTCCTGCCACATTAAGTTCTCCTGGATGTATCATAAACTATTTATTGAGGGTGTTCAGCTGGAAAATTGAAAAGAAAGCTTTTAAAGGGGTTTTCCTCTCTGAAGCAAGTAGGAAGAAAGAAAACAGCACTTGATTGTTTCTTTTGTTTCACCTGGGTTAAGCTTCTGAGAGTCTAGTGAATTGCCACCAATGAAAGAATTATTTGTATACATATACATCAAATCAAACCTGGAAATAAGGTAACAACAAAAGGAATATGGTTGAACTGCTCATCAGGAAATGTCAAAACATATTTACCTTTTGAAAAATTTCAAAGCTTAACACCATATATGATGAACCTATTTCAACAATCTGTAAATGCATGGCAATCTCTCTATAAATATTGTGCAATTCAAAAAATGTTCATACTAACAAGGAAATATATTAGGTTACACAGAGCAAGAATAAAGATATAATCAAGTTATTCAGTTATAACTTAAACCATCAGCCTCCAGCAAATATTTGGCAAATCTTTTCCTGTATCTATATTGTTTCAAGGCACCTTACCCTCCTTTAGGCAAATATCACATCCAAATTATAAATGAATCAAGTTGGAATAAAATACCAATGTGCAATTTCTTTGGATAGAATTTTACATTTAATTATTTGAATTTTAAAGGATGTGGACATGCTTTTGATAATAGAAGTCTAACTATCAGTATTCAGTCACATACACTATGGCACTGTTGAATTTGTCCAGATAAGGTGTTAGTAGAGGGAAGAGCAAGAACAATACCCAGATGTCAGAAAATACAGACCATGTAGGAAACAACTAACAGCTCAATTTTGCTGCATGTTAGGGTGGTAAAAAGGTAGTTGAGGGGAAAAATATCAGGATCGCTAACTTGAGGTCACGTGGTTTGGGGTCTTAAATGTCAGGTGAAAGTCAGGTATTTTTTATAGGTCATACAGGTCCAAGGAAAGTTTATGTGAGTAACATAAGTAATCTGCACATCAAGAAAACTAATCTAGTGGTAACAAGCAAAACAGATTTGGCAGGAGTGATTTTGATTGGAGGTGGGACATTCAATCAAGACAGATGAACAGATATAATACTATAGAATTTTTTCTTTTTAAGACAATATTTTCATTCAGTAGAACTTGAAAGATTGTGACAACTTGATTTTAGAGAGCATTCTTTCTGAAATTAATAAGAAATCATAAATTAATTAGCTGGGACAGTATTTAATATGACTTACCAGTGTTAATGGACTGGATTTTCCTTCATCAAACAAAACAGTATGGCCGCGACTTGTCTTTGGGCCTACTGGGGGATGGGGAGACAGGACTGGCATGTTACTGTCAAGAAATCGTCTTGTGTCTTCTCCCTAGAATAAAAAGAAGATGTAATAAATAAATGCATAGTTGGTAACCTAGGCTGGGTTAGTGCTTGACATAGGTTCATGCTTGACTATAAAACCAAAGTTCTTCCTCTTTCCTTTAAGAGAGCTACTTCTGAGGCCTGTCATGGTAGTGAGAAGAAGATTCTACAGTCGTATCAAAGTGTAGTGCTAAAAGACAGGAAACTGAATCTGCTGTAGCTGTACACAAGAAAGAGCTACAAAAGTGTATCCTCTCTTTTGTGGAAATGTTTATTAAGCAGACCTATATGAAGAGCACAGTGCTCTTCACTACTTTAATCAGTAGAGGCTGACAGAAAATCACAACTTTCCTTAAAAAATTATTCCATACTGCTATTATGAAAAAAGTTTGCATATTTAAAAAAGGGGACCAAAAACATATCCTTGTCAATTACAGGTATGAAGTGAAAATTGTGACAAGTAAAAATCATATGGGGAGGAACTGGAGTGTCTACAGAAAATCTCTGCCATGCTATAGTATGTCTATTTACCTCACTTACCAGGCCTGGCAATCCAGGCAGGAGTGAATGAGGTTAACACACAGCCCTCCATACTTCAGACAGTGCTAGTCATCCTTTATTTCCAATCACATTTTTTCCCATCAGTATCTCAGCTGATAAATTATAGAATCAAAAATTCAGTCCCTGATGTAGGACAATATCACCAGAGTTGAATTAACCACAAATTTCTATACTCCAACTTTTCTGGTCTTGAAAGCTAATCTACCTCCCGTCATTTAACAGCACTTTTGTAACAAGATTATCTTTTGACCCTGACAAAATACTCTAGTCTATCAGGCCAGTGAGGAAAAATTGCAATTTATATTGCGAATTATACTACAGAAACTTTACACCTGCTCATCAGTTTGTGAAACACATTTTACGCCCTGCATTTGTAATACTACACAGAAAATTAGAACAACATGTGATTCTGAAAGCTCAAGAAATTGAATAAAGCTGCCAACCTAAACTGAAATCTTCCAAATGTACCTAATTGAACTCTCATCTCTTGATTCAAATTTATGTATTTCATAAGTTCACTGCAAAAAAGGGATATGAAATACAAAAGTAGAAAACAAGTGAGGAATTTTAAAATGCCCTACACAAAATGTCTCAGATCTTGTTTTCTTTTGCTAAGGAAGATCTTTCACACCATAATTTTCAAGGGTGACATGTACATGAAAATGTGCCATTGTATAATTCTTAAAATGCCCTATTTTTCCTCACTCTGGGAACATTACCATCGATTTTTGTTTTCTTAAGATAGATGAAGATCCTTTGGCCTCTGTCACAAGAAAATACAAAAGCAAAATTTCAAACTTGCAAAGAATGTTTTCAAGTTTGTCTTTGAACGGCTTGTGCCTTGTTAAAATTTATTTCACACAAACAGCTCCTATTTTGTCACAATCATCTGTAATGATGACAGCCAAGATTCAGGCTTAGTAGAACCATTATTTGACCTCAGCTACATGTTACCCAAAAGTAAAGTACCTCAGGGAACCTCAATAATAACACCACTGCTTTTTTAAATCATAATATAATGAAGTAAAAGAAATGTAACACCTTACCTTAAATCTCTGGATTCGCTCCTTCCTAGCTAAAGTCTCCAGTTTCCTTTTTATTTCAAGCTGATGGTAACGCTAAGAATACAGTAAAGAATGGAGGAGAGAATCATATCAGCTGTAGTAAAGAATATTTTGGAGGAAAATAATACCAATAACTAACTCTATTCTCAATTATTCCTCTTATCATTTAGATGGAGAGAATCACCTGCATAGGTATTCACGTGGGAATATAAATTGATACCATGCTAAAGATCTTAGGCAGTTAAAAGTATTCATACCCTTTAACCAGTCAACTTCATTCCTAAACCCAAGACTAAAACTGAATAATAAGATTTAAGTGTTTCATGAACAAAGATGCTATCTAAAAGGTTTTTTTTCCTTTTCCCTCAGAAAATACAGCAGTAATATAAACTTTGAAGATAAGCGACATGTACAGCACATCCCTGTGATGGGACAGAATACAATCATTAAAGTAAGCTTCAAACTTTGTTTTCTAAAAAAGGGAAAATACATTGTAATACAGGAGAAATTAAGATACAGAATTGCATGGAAATACAACTTAATTGATCGAGTTTTTATCGTGTACCTGTCCCTGTGATTGGAAGGTGTTTTGAATATACCATCTCTAATTGCTAAGCAATCCTATTTTATAAGCATAGAAACTAAGGCAGAGCAGACTGTTGCTGCCAGTGAGGTTTTTGGAAAGTGACTAGGTTTTCTTAGCTCCACAGTGAAAAAGGAACTGGAAGGAATATGGGGCCATCCAACACTGACTGCCATGTTTGATGGTTCCATATGCCTGATCTATTAACTTACTCTCCAGCATCAGAGAAGGCGTCTTAATACACCTCACCAAATCATTCAGTTTTTCTTATTTGTTACTTTGGCTGCCATTGTTCTTATTTAAAATGTTGACAGAAAAAAAGAAACTAAGGCACAGGATGATGAACTTGCTATGGAACTATAATTTGAACCTTGGTTTATATAACATTAACTTCCCATTTTTTGTTTTTATTTTTCATAAACCAATGACATATCATGATTTTGTTTTTGCAGTGCTAGGGATTAAACTCAGGGTACCACACATGTCATGATTTTATTAATGCATGAATATGAATAGAAAAAATTTTTAAAGAAATGCATGTGAACAGTAGTTATCGCTGAAAATAGAAACCATATATGATTAGTTTCCTTTAGAGTGCTTTCTTTGTGCTTTCTGAATTTTCTGCATTATACTAATTTTATAATTTAAAAGTAAACTTCACATAAAGGTGATTTTCTAAATCATTCAGATGCATAAGAATGTTTTACTTAGTGGCCCTTTGTGGGGGAAATGTTTTTTCTGTGTTCTTGATCCTTGCTGTGGCTTTGGGGACCCTGAAAAGTCAATCATTCCCTACCTGAGTACCATCAATCCTCTTCTTGACACTTCCCTTTCCTCTCCCTCTTTTTCTGATCTTTCACCCACTTATCACTAAATTTTATTACATTCACTATCAACTACGTTCAATCTTCCACTTATCCCCAACTCTCTGCAGTCAGCCCCTCCTCCTCACCACTGCTAAAACTACTTTTCCCAAGGCCACCAATGTCTTTGTCCCCTGGGTCAATACTAATTTCCTTTTTTCAGAGTACTCATCTTATTTAACCATTTAGCAGCTTGTAAGAACTTACTTCCAGAATACCATCCTAGCAGGTATGTGTTTTGCCACTCAAAGTTTCTTTTCTACCCATATTGCTGTCGCTGTGCCTCCAAATTCTACATCCCGCCATCCAGACTGGAAACCTCAGAGTTGCTCTTGCCCCTTTCTCGTCCTTACTCCTCCTCATTCAGTCCCTTTAAATCTTTCTCCATCTTCAAAATTTCTGTAGACAGCTTCATCACCACAGCATTATCACTACTGCTATTAGCCCACACCCTTCGGCAATAGCTTCCTAATTGACCTCCCACCTCCAATCCTTTCCAGCTCATTAATCTGTCTTCCACATTTTTAGCAACATCATCTTTCTCAAACAGCTCTGCTCATTTATTTTACTCCCCTGCTGAAAAACATTTCATCACCTCATCACCTACTCTCCAAACTGAGTTGAGAATTTAAGGCTCTCCAGAAACCTAATGTATTGGATAGTGTCACTTCCTGCTGTCTTCCAACTAACCCAACAGTGCAGTGTGGCCTCAGTGAGCTTTACTTTCCATTCACAATGTCCTTTAACACTACTATAATTTCACACCTTCTGTTTTCATTCTCTGGAATGCCTTTCCTAGAAATTCTCATTCACTGTACAAGGTACATTTCAAATAGAAGTACTTCTGTTCAACTTCCTCTGATTCCCACAAAAGAAGGTTATTCTTCCCTTCTTCCCATTCTTGCTTCTCTCACCCCAATCTGTTTCTTCTTCTCTTCCAACTGTAAATACTTTCTACAGCAATTTTCTAAATTGTGTCTTGAAGTGACAACATATTCTCATTTTGACATGTGGTAAGTCTGCAAAAAATATTTGTTGCATGAGTGAATATGAATATCAATGCAACAGTATCAGTCAGCTGTATCAGCATAGACTAATGGGAGATAAGTATGACAACTTAGAGATTTTGTTTGTTGTAGTATATTAATGTATTATGTAGGTTTAGTATTCCTTATCCAAAATTGGACCAGAGTGTTTCAGATTTTGAAATATTTGTACAAACTTTACTGGTTGAACATGTCTAATCTGAAAATCTGAAATATGCAGCTTTTTGACATGATGTTTAAAAGTTTCAGGTTTTGAAGCATTTCACATTTTAGATTTTCAAATTAGGGATACCCAACCTATATATCATAATTATTATATGGTCTACAATATATATTCAACTATATATATGATAATATTACATATTATCATTTATCAAAGACATTTATTCCAAATTTGAAGAGTGCATGAAGACCCTTTAATTACAGTATAACTAATTCTGACGTGTCATAATGTGTCAGTGGTATGAGATTTAGAAAAACAAACTCTAACAATCATGGCTAATATTGAATTCAGTGCCTCTTGAGTAAATTTGAAACTAGGTATACATTAGTTTTATACTGTGCTGCTTATTTTTAAATGAGTTGTAGAATTCCAGCTAATACCATTGTAAGCAAGCAAATTTGGACGATAAGTAATGATTCTGTGTAATTCATGCACATGATATAAAGCACAAAATGAATTCCTAAATTAACAGACTATATATATGTAATATAATATATATGTATATATACATGTCTTAAGTGAACATTCCACTTAATCAATACAATGGTAGCAAAATTAATATCTTCAGTGGCACTAAACTTGGTGTTAGTTTACTGATGATTCTTAGAGCTGTTCATAAACGTTTATAGCACCCACAGGTCAATGGTTTTATAACCAAGGTTTTCTGATTTATTGCTGTATGGTCAAGCCAAAAAATGACATGCTTTTTCACAGAGATTAAAATGGTGTTGATGCTTGAAACTGCAAGTTTCATGGACCAAGGCTGAAATAATTTATCAAGTTAGCTAGATATCCCACTAAAAATGCCATGTCATATTAAAAAAAATTGTTGATGCTTGGATTATAAATCTATGTTGACCAATGTGGCCTGAAGTAGGAGGGACAGCAGATGTTTCCATGCCTATTCCTTGAAACTTAACATACGGCTGAGCTTCAGAGCCTTAAAAGAATAACAGATCTGAAATAATTCATGGCAGTGGAATTACTGATATTTAAACAGATGTCACTTTTTTTTAGCAAATGGAAATTAAGATACAGATGGTGAGGGCTGGTATGTTTCAGAGTAGCCATTGTGGATTAAAAATCTACATTTAGAAAATTAAATATCACAAAATATATAATGATGTCCATATTTTTTCCCAACTGAAGTGGAGAAAAGTTTAGTCTCTTGGTGCCTGGCTACCTAGAGAGTATTTCTCAAGTCACTTGGTTTCATATCCTTTTTCGTGAAGTATAGGAAGAATTCCCCTGCTCTGGGTACAAAGCAGTTAATAGTGCTATGATACTGCAGTTATCAAACTATAGCCCATCAATTATAAGGAAGATAATAAATAGTTGTACCTCCATATCCAGAACCTTATGGAAAATAGCCTGGGCTAAGCACTCCCGGATATATTTTTGGTGATCCCGCTTCATGATATTCAGTTTATATTCTTTTTCAGAAAGTATTCTTCCACTTCTTGTGATCTGTCATGAATAAATAAATAAATGAATGAATGAATAAATAAAATACACACAGAAATACAAAGTAGAAAATGTGTTGTTAGTTTCCAAGAAAGGGATGGAAGACTAGAGGGAAGAAAGAGAGTCAGAGAGGGACACAGAGAGAGAGAGAGAGAACTGAGAGAGGGAGGGAGAGGAAAATAGTGAGGCAGTATCTTCAAAGCCTAAAGGCATACACACTATGGCTAACAAACTTCACTTTTAATGAATATTTCATAAAGCGAAAAGGAGAAAGGAAGTCTCATATACCCATCATTGTAAAAATGCACAGGTGGTGCACTTGACGTTTAAAACAAGGTTTTCATTAGAGTAACAATTTCCCCTTGATGGAACCCAGGTGTTCTTTTCAGTTCTCCTTTGAACACATTTTGGGAATAAGGTAGGGGGGGGTGCTACCTCCAAACAATGAGCAGAAGCAGTGATCACAGGACTGATAATTTCACAGGAAACACTTTGAAGCGCAAAAGTGGAAAGCTACCAAGGATCTCATCAGTTTGTTTTAAAAATAATTGGTTTCATTACTTTGTTTTCCCACTGCTTTTTCTTCTTCCACTTTCCAGCCCAGAATGTAATTTAATTTGTTGTGATTCAGAATTTTACAGATTGTGCAGTACTGTAGAGAAGGTATTCAATATTGGTCTCACTTGGCGTCACTGCAAGTCCCAGGAGGGGCAGTGTCTGCTTTTTACTTTTTATTTTTTGCTTTTCTTTTACATTTTTCCTGTGGGCACATTTGCTGAGGGTTTTCTTTTTTTGGAGAGGGGGGTTACTTTGTTTTGTTCTGTATGGCCCATAAACTAAAGGGATTGTTCATCTTCTTTTCCATTTTTTTAGGCCCTGTAGTTTTTAAGGTTAATTGCAAGTCACATATTAATTTTATTCTTAGTTTTGCTAACTATAGCTTTTTAACACTATTGTTGCAACATATTAGTTTTTCCACCAATCACAATCATGTGACAATTGGTTATTGATCATCTTCATATATTTATACATGTGTATTTATGCATTTTTCCAGTGGAAGAAAGTGGTGTGTTATAGAAAGTGTGCTTGAAATTCCACTAACCCAGTTGCAGTCTTTGGAATGTGTTGTCAGGGGATTTCATGTCACATGTGCTTAATTGGGGGGAAAAAATAGAAGGTCTTGACTGCCATTTCCTTGGCAGTTAACATGTGTCATTGTTATCTCTTCTGTGTGATCTCCCCAGTTAGACTAGAAGCTCCTATAGGGCGAAATTTTAAACTTGAGTCTGTACCAGAATCGCCTGAAGGGCTTGAAGAAAAACAGATGATGGGACCCACCCCAAAGCTTCTGATGCAGTAGTTCTGGGACGGTGCTCCACATTTGTGTTTTCTAACAAGTTCCAGGGTGATGTTAAACACTGCTGTTGAGAGGCTTTTGTTTGAAGCACTGCTCTAGAGAAAAGGCTGTGTCTTCCTTGTTTGAGTTGCCATGCATATAACCAGCATTCAATAAGTGTTCGTTGATGATGTTGACAGGTAAATACAAGCCCTTCCCATTCATACATGAACTTCATAGACTGTTATCCAAAGAAGCTATGTTAGTAATAACCACAAGAAGTGCAACCAACATTCATTGCACATCTCTCATTGTCATAACAATTCTGAGGGCTGGGCATTATTAGCTGCATTTTACAATTGAGGAAGTTGGGGCTGAAAAAGTTAAGTGGTTTGCTCATGATTCTTGTCTTGTTAATGATAGAGCCAGGTTTCAGCCAGGTCTGTCTGATAACAAAGCCCCAGGAGACTGAAAAGCAAGCTCTCTGAGATCTATCCAGCTAGAGTACCAGCCACATAAACAACAATTTAAAAAAAGGAGTTTCTGCCTGATAGCGAGGGGGTTGGGGGGAGAGGAAGGGGGTAGGGAGAAAGGGAGGGGGCTGGAGGAATAGGGGAGAAATGACCCAAACATTGTATGTACATATGAATAAAAGAAAAAAAAAACACCAAGGCAACAATTGTTAAGGAAATCCACTGTAACTTAAAAAAGTAGATAGCTAACCCTTTCTAAAACCACATCCCTTTCTTTCAGTGGAAATTCATAATACTTTTAAAAGATTTTCCACATTATATGCATTTAGAGAAATGGAAATTTTGTGGTAAGGATACTTATGAAGCCAATGAAAGACACTGTTGTATCAATAAACCACCACTAGAAATGACAGTTTAAACAAATTCAAGAGGAAATGTTGAATGCTCATTTTTCCATATATGTGATTATTAAAAACTATTTTTTTCTGAAGACAATAAAATCTTCTCTGTCCTCATGCTTTAACAGTTTCTGGCTCATAGAATACATTCAATAAATGTGTTGAATAAATGAATAAATAAACAAATGAACTATGCTGTGGAAAATTCATAGGGACCTTTCCTCAATAATTTATGTTTCCTCAGAAGTCACTGTGACCTCTCTTCTCATCTTTACATATAGCCTCAAATAAATAAATCAGAGCTTTAGAAAGGAAGTAATTTTTCTAAAATAAGTAGGGAAAAAAGATCTCACTGACAAGCACAAAGAAGAAACCTGAAAAAGTTTGGGAATTATTGGATTTAATGAAACAAGAAGGTAGGTAGAAAGTATAGCAAATCTTACCAGCCCTGATCTTAAGAGATGCCGTCTTATCCTTGTATTGTTAAAATATCCAGCCAGGTGTTTATCGGTTAGGCTATTGTATGCTGCAAGTAATCTGAAACAGAAAAATAAAACCATTAAGGTTTCATGAAGTGTTGCTTGATACCAAGGCGATTCTTGACATTGCCTTCTCCATACTCCGCCTATCAAGCACTCATCCAGTCAGCTAATCATTCGTGTATATGTTTAACAAACATGTACAGAGTGCCTACTATTTTCTAGGTTTTATGACAAAAATTAGGAGACACTCTTGAGTTTGGTTATCTTGCAAGCAAGTGTGGAAATCAGGAATGAATAATTCAAAAGGGAATGAAAAGTCCAGTACCAGAAATATTCAAAAAGTCATCAGAACTCATAGAAGGGGATGCCAGCTCTGCTTGTCAAGAAGTACTTCATAGAGAAGGCCCATTGCAAAGGCAGCAGCTCCTTCAAAGGACTGTTCTGCCTTTTCTTACATACCCTTATCTCACCTCACACTCACCTGCTCTACCACAACTTCTTCTCTCATGTGGAAAGGACATAATGCAGTCCCTGTATTGCAAAGACCCACCCTCCATGTCTTAGAGAGCAATGACCCCATGATGCACAATGTCTCTTTCCTGGGAAATACCCCTGATGTGCATCCACTATGCTGCCTTTCCTCCTGCTCTACACCATAAGATGCTGAGTTACATTCTCATCCCACATATGGAATTGTTAGTTTCTTGGTCTCTTCTGCTAGACTTGAAGGTCAGGATGGTACATGATTCTTGATCTCCCTACTGATGTTATTTGTTGTATTCCTAAATAATAATGTGTCCAGTAAGTGAAGGTACAGTTTTGTTTGGGACTTGTGCTTATTAGTCTAAGTTTCTAAGTTTAAGCTCAGTATTTTTGATGTGTTAATTTCCTCATACATACTTAGACAATTGCACTAATTATATATAGTACCCAAAAAATTTTAAATGCATAGATTGCCTTAGATTTTTAAGGTCTTTTATTTTAAGAGTTAAAAGAAGACAAATTGGCTTCTTGACTATATACTGCATCTTAGCAGGTGGTCAATCTCAGTTTATAAATCAGAATTAGAAACTATGCTTTTCTCTTTTAATCTAGTCTTCCTTAATTATTTTGTACCTTACAAATATGCACACACATATGTGTATACATGCAGCCATACTCATAAGCATTTATATATGTACATATACTTAAATGTTAGTATAAATATATAGAAATAAACAGAGGGAGACAGAAAGAAGCAGAGAGAGGCAGAGAGAAAAAGAGAACAAACAAGCCTAAATACAGCCCTGAGGTAAACCTGCCTTGAAAAAAAATGCATATAATATTACCTGGAAAAAAGATTCATAATCTGTACATTTTATAAGCAGCTTATCCTCAACTTATTTTGAGGCCAGAGTAGGGACTCATTATAGAATCAAAAAAATGTCATTAGCAGCAATTTTATTTAGCTGTTTTCACTACTTTAATTTTGTGGAGATGGTATTGATGACCTTTCCCTGGCTTTTTTTCTCCTTAGCAACCCATCCCAGGAAAGTTCCATGCTGTCAAATGGTAAAGAAAGTTTAATTTTGTCTACAAAAGAGACTGAAAAGCAGTTACAAAGCCCAGAAGACAAGATGTCACATGAGGGTTGCAGACATATGAACAACTGCAGAAACCATTATTTCCCTGGGTTTATGTAAAAAGACAACCCAAGAACTTCTCTAAGGCACATACAAAACCAGCCTTAGATAAAGCTTTGAAACCATCTTTTAAATGAACTGTCTTGGTGTCCTATCGTTCATCAAAGGTTTCCTGTCTCCGAAAGGTCAACATTGTATCCCTTACCCTTTCTGAATCTCAGAATACCTTTCCAGCTCCTCATTTCAGAAAGGTGAGCAGGTGTCTCTCAGTCTTAACAATCATGATTCCACAGTTCACAGATTCTTAAGTTAAATCATTAGACTGGTATCATATCTACTCTTTTGTCTGCTTTTATTTAGGGGGCCCAACCTTTTTTTTTTTAATCAATAACTTTGGAATATCCAGGAGTGTTAAAACCCTGATTAAATAAAGTGGCGTCAAAGAGTTGGGATAACATGGACCTCCAATTCCCAACTGACAGATAAAATATACCTTGTTTTAATTCAGTCTTTTGAACCTTTTAAATATTTATGTCCTCATAACAATGCTAACTAAGCCCACTTTGGCATCACTTAATTTTAATTGTCTTCTGATCATGTAGGCTCTGACTAAATGAATACATGTGTATGAAACCCTTCTAGTGTCACTTAAATGT